TGGCACATCAACTGCCTGGAGATGCTGGCCGTATTTCGAGCTTTGAAGCACTTCTTCCCGGACCTATGAGATCGCCATGTGCTAGTGCGCACCGACAACGCAGCGGTGGTCTCTTACATCAACGACCAGGGAGGTCTGCGCTGACGCCGTTTGTACAAACTAGCGTACCAGATCCTTGTGTGGTCCCAGGGCAAACTTCTCTCGCTGAGAGCAGTTTACATCACTGGGCATCTCAATTTGGGAGCAGACATCCTATCAAGGCAGGGGCCGAGGCCCGGGGAATGGAGGCTTCACCCCAGGGGCGTTCCCCTAGCGTTTTCCGACGCAGCGTCTCGTTCCCTCGAGGAACCAGGGTTACATACGTAACCCGAGACGTTATCCATTATTCAGTGAGTCCAATCTTTCTCCCTACCCTCTTTAACTCACATCCTCTCTCTCCTAAGCTTAAAGTGTGCTGTTATTATAATAACAATAATAATAATAATAATAATAATAATAAAAAGGCCCTGACTGTGTCAGGCATTACTGATTGCCTGGTGAATAAATCTATTCCCTACATATATACATGCTTACTTGTTGGAGTCTCTGTCATGCCTCAATCCTATTCCACCTCTCTCAAAACTACTTTACTGTCTATACTCCACTTTCCTAATAAAATAAGGACAAACAGATTGAAAAAATAACAAAAGATTAAATAAATCATTGTGCCATAATTAATTGACACACTGAGACCACAGAATAAAGACAAGACCAAATTTAGTGCTGAGAACATGCTTTATTGAATCATTAATACTCAAGGAGGTTGCATATATAGATAATACTACAATTCTACATAAAATCAAACCAAAGTGCAGGGCATTTAGATACTAAACCATTTCTTTCCCATTGCACAGCAGGTGGAGTTGCTGTGGCACACTTTCTTGATGTTTGCCCAACAACTGACAAGGTGAATTCTAAAGCTAACACACAAACACACAATGCTTCAAAGCAATCCTCCAAGAGGAGGCTCTGCTTCTGCAAGGAAGTACAAGATATACTTTCCTTATTGGCCAGGAGATGTTCATTTTGAAAGTGTATTCAAGCAGTCCCTTGCCAGAAACAGAGCACATTAAACATTTTTGCTCATAAAGTGCAGGCCGCTCGCACCTTGAGCTTGTCATTAAAATGGTGGTATGACATAGTCAGTCTAAACACAAGGCCTAGTCGCCCTGCTTACATGAGGGTAACATGCAAACAGCACTCAAGGCCTTATGTTCAAGTAACAATGCATAAGAGTATGCTTATAATATCACTGCATGTGTAAACATGCAGGTATAACTTAGTCTCTTAGATTTAGTGTTAACGTCAACAGGGAGCCTTCTCTACCTGTTGAGGCAATCTTAAGACTTCAACTTATTGTTGAGGCACAGAGTTTAGTTTCAGGTTTATCAAGGTATTCGTTCCATGTGAAACTTTCTCCTGATAAACATTTAGTTCCATTTGTTTCAGTTAATATTGTTATAAATAACAATTCATACATTTTCCATAACCGTTAAATTCGGCTATATACATTATGTACATGTCACAGAAAAATGGATCAAAATCCTAAGTCATAATTATCCAATATGGCATATTTTATAATAACTTTAGACTTTAGTCTAGATTGGCATAAATTAATGTCAAGTTTGGTATAAAAATAGTTTATATTTACAGGAACAGATATCCAGGTATTTATCAAGACTTTTTCTCCCCTCATTTAATAAATACAAAAGTTGCTTAATAAAGGAAGGGGTGGGGGTAGAAATTATGGCTTTACTTTGATCGAATGCTGATGGTAACAGTTGCCATGTCAGATCCATGCTCATTGGACAGTTTGAGTGTGTATGTCCCAGCATCACTCTCTTTCACACCAGTGATGATGAGTGTGGTTAGGTCCTCTGTTGTCTCGATATGGAACCTACTGCTTTCTTCCTCGCCAGGCAGTTTCTTTCCACCACGTGACCACTCAATACGAGGTGCTGGCTCTCCAGAGAAAGCACAGGCCACTGTTAGAACCTTTCCAGTTTCGATGCTGATATCTTCAGGAAGAGCTTCAATTCTTGGAGCTAAGCCTATGAAATAAATGTATTTAAAATGATATTCATCCATATTACAACATTATTTAAAAAATTGGTATGTATGATTGGTTTTAATCAAATTGATCCTTACCTTGAGCACTGTGGAGGGCTGCTCTAACTGAAGATTCTTCAACATGTGAATGACTTGACATTATACTACTTGAGCTCATTGCATATACTGACTCCGATGTCATAGAGGACATGCTAGACATTGACATAGTTTCAAATTTCATCTCAGCCATTGAAGAACTGCTGAAGGATGCCTCTTGGATTGTGCTCTCCATTTGGATGGATTTAGAAGAAAAGCTTTCATGCATACTGCTAACAGCTGCACTGTCCCTTTTAAGAATCATTTCGCTTCCCCCACGTATTTGGGATGACATGGATTCTGGGAAAAAAATTATAAATAAATAAATAAAGCTTTTACATAAAGCACTGGCACTAAGAAGAATGGACATCAAGATTTTAAATGGATGAGAATTTATGCAAAAGGACATGTACCTTGAACTGCCATTTGTGTAGCCACGAATGCATTTACTTTTGTGTAGATTGCTTGGAACACTTGACCAACAAAAGAGAATGATGTTCTTGACACTGCTCCTCCTTCACTTATGATATCACAGGAGTATTCCCCTTGGTCACTCTGTGAAACATCAGATATATAGAGACAGCAAGTTCCATCTGCAGATGAATGAATCTGAAACCGACTACTTTGACTCAGTTTTCTGCTATCCTTGTACCACACAACTTCTCTTACTGAGCTCTCTGCAACAAAGATCATCTTAATTTTGTCTTCATAAGCTTCAGCTTCGAGTTGCTGAATGATCTTTGGTGGTGCTTCCTTTGAGGGGGTTGGGGATTTCACTGTAAGTGGAGATTTAACTCTTTTAGGTGACATGATCGGCTCAGGAGATTTGACTGTTGGTGGGGATTTGGCTCTCTGAGGTTCAGGAGACTTAAGTCCTGTAGGGGATTTAACTCTCAGAGGGGATGCAACCGGCTCAGGAGACTTAATTGGAGGTGGGGATTTTACCCTGGGAGGTGAAGCTATAGGCTCAGGAGACTTCAGAGCTGTTGGAGACTTTACTCTTTGAGGGGTGGTTGGTTCAGGAGACTTAATAGGAGGTGGAGACTTTACCCTCTGAAGATAGGCAGCTGGCTCTGGTGACTTCAATTTCAATGGGGATTTGACACCCTCTGGAGATTTAATTTGAGGTTCAGGAGATTTAACACCAGTGGGTTCTGGTGATTTAATTTGGGGTTCTGGAGACTTCACTGAGGGAACAGGAGACTTTACCGAAGGCTCTGGAGACTTTACCGATGGCACTGGTGATTTCACAGAGGGCTCTGGGGACTTTACTGATGGCACTGGGGATTTCACAGAGGGCTCTGGAGACTTTACTGATGGCACTGGAGATGCAACTGATGGCTCTGGAGATTTAACTGATGGCACTGGAGATGTCACTGAGGGTTCTGGTGGCTTCACTTGTGTAGGTATACCTTCCTCTTTAATTATTTGTTTATGAATAGTTAAGGTAAACCTTGCCTCTTGCTTTCCTTCTGAATTTTCTACAACTACAGTGTAACTGCCTTCATCTGAATACACAACTGATGAAATTTCAAATGTAGACTTATATTGTGTTGTAGACACATGGAAACGGTGCGAAGAGACAATTGTTCTTCCCTCATGCATCCATGTGACACTTGGTGCTGGCTCTCCATCAATATCACAGACAAATCGTGCTGAGTCACCCTCAGATACAGTCAGAGACTGTGGTTTTGTGAGTATTTTGGCTGAAAGAGTAGCTTTCACTTTCTTTACTGAAACTTCAGATGTTGTTTCTGATTCTTTTATCTTTGATGTTGTATGCCTGTCAGAGGATGAATATGAAGCTGATGATAGGTATTCGGCGGATGCATATCTAATTGGAGATGATGCAAGCTTCTGCGATTCATACTTTTCAAAGGCAGAAACTTCACATCTCTCTGTCAATTTAGTTTTGGTTTCTTTGATCTCCAAGTGAGTTCTTGAGGCAGAGGAAGCTCTGATTGTTGTTGAATGATAACAATCAGTTTTTGTTATATCAGGTACAAATGGTGTTGGAGCCTCTTCATCTCGACGTCTTGAAGAGTATGTAGTAAATGCTCCACCTGAAACATCAAGAGTTCCATAGTCTGATGCCTCACCCTTTGAATTTGTGCAGACGACACGGTATGTGCCACTGTCCTCTTCCTGACAGTCATTAATCTGAAGAGACAGGACTCCACTCATATTTGTGAACTGGTATTTGCTGCTCTCTTGTATTTGTTGTCCATTATGGAACCACTGGATATCAGCATCTGGCTTTGATTGAACATTCAATGTGAATTTAGTGTTTTGTCCACATGGAACACGGTGAGAACGCATTCTTACTGTGATACGTGGAGTATGGTCAAGACTGAAGGGCTGTTGTGTCACAACCTGGTACTTGCGCTCAGATTTGAGAGCTGCTTTTCTTGCTTCATATCTAGACATGATGTCAAATCTTGCAGACCTTTCAAATCTAGAGGAGGATCTGGAAGATCTTCTCTCAGTTGACACAGGACTTGGTGATCGAGGACGTGTCCTCTCAGGGGTGGGTGATCTTCTTTCAATAATTTCAACTTCAGCCTCTGTTGAGATGCGGGCACGAGGTTGTCTGATGAGTTCAGAGACAGGACGCATCAGTTCAATATATGTTGGAGACAATGATCTCCTCCTCCTCATGAAATATGAAATGGGAGGAGGAGAGCCCCGAGCTTGCTCAGTTGTTGTTACATGTTTTGTCTCTACGCGTCTCACTTCAGCTTTGTGAACAGGTCTGGATGAAGCATGATGCAGTGCAGACAGCTCAAAGCGGACGGGGCTTCCACTGGGTGGGGAGGCAGAGAAGCCAAGTTCAAGTTCTTCTTCAAGCTCTTGCCTTTCTTTTTCAGTTCTCTTCATTGTCAGATAGTCCTCACCCTCGAGGAGCTCCTCATCTGAAAGATCTCCTAGTGAGCGTCTTCTCAGTCTGAATGATGCCTCTGACTCAGGGGATGGTGATCTTCTTGCTGGTCGAACAGTTTCTAAATCATCTAGTGTAAGTTTAGGAATGCGCCACTTTGGTCTGTACTGGTCAGTTATTCTAGGCAGTGGCATGACATAAAATTGCTCCCATCTGGAAAGACGAATACGCCTCTGTCTCTTCTGGACAATTCTTTCCATTCTCTCAGGAATCTCATACTGGTCACGTAGTTTCTTGTACCATTTCATGTCAGATAGGGGCACAAAGTGTTTGATCAACTTATCTTCACTGAGAACAGTTGGATCATATGCACGAGCTTCAGGGATTTCATAAGGCATACGTATCTTCTTCTCTTCCTCTTTTATTTTCTTTAGTTCTTGATCCTCTTTAACAGAGATGTCAAACTCACCCTGCACATTTTTGGTGCTGAATGCAGGTTTATATAATTCAGCAGCTTCCTTCAAAGCTTCCTGTGCTACAGGGTTAAGTGTAACAACCTCTGCTGTTGAGAACTGTTGTGCTATTTTCAGTGTCTTTTCTATTTGGTTCCTTACATACGTCTGCCTCTCTTCCTCACTCTTGAACTCCCTCCTTGTGTATGTTAGGCGTTCAACTTTGAGAGAAGCTTGACAACTTGCTGATCCAGCTGTATTTGTTGCAGTGACTCTGTATGTGCCTGAATCCTCTATGAGGGTTTCTCTGATATGTAGAACATGATGTTCTACATCCTCTTGAATGACTTCAACTTGTGGTCTGAACTCAAGAGGTTTCCCATTTTTCTCCCATTTCAGAGTTGGAGCAGGGGTTCCTGATACTCTTAAGTCAAAGCGGACGCTTTGACCCTCAACACACTCAATATTAGCTAAGAGACGTTTGAACATTGGTCTCATATTGTCCTCAGCAACAACATGTGGTGTTACAGTGAGACGGGCCTTGCAACTGTCCTCACCAAACTTGTTGTTTGCTACAACAGTGTATTCAGCATCATCACTGAGATCAACATCGTGTATCATGAGTTGATAAAGACCCTTGTCACTTGTGAATGTGTATTTTGTAGGATCTGGTTTGATCCTGTGCCCGGCCTTTAACCATGTTACACTTGGCTCTGGATGGACTGTAATTGTTACACCAAAGCGCACATCTTCACCAATGTATGCTGCACGGTTGTACAATGGCAAAGTAAACTCTGGAGGCCTCTGCAAAATTTTTGTTTTGTCAATTCTACGCCTTGGTTTCTTGAGCGAGCGTCCCAGATAGTATTCTCGGTAGGACCTAACTGTCTCAACAAACAACTCAGCATATGCACTATCCTCCCTATCTTCACAGACAACCTTGCATCTATAAAATCCATCGTCACATTCTTCAATGTCTTTAACATAGATGCTAGCAACTCCATTAGCATAACTGATTTCATATTTGTGGCTTGCAGTCAGTTTGCGGGAACCAAAGTACCAGGTCACTTCGGTGTTTCTGTTGTAGTTCTCAATGCAGCACACAAACCTGATATGTCCTCCCTCTTCAGCAGAGCAATGCATGACAGGACCCGCTCTCAAGCCTTGTTCAGGATGTCCAACTTTCACTCTGCCAATGGAAACATTTCTCTGGTTTCTGTAGCCACCACCATAGGCAACACGTGCTGCTGAAATAACAGTGCTCCATTCCTTTTTCACCAGTGATTGGTAGTATCTTCTGTGTCTCAAAGTCTTGATGACCTTTGAACTAACATATTCCAATTTCATCTTGAGCCAAGGGTGCTCCAAAGCTTCAGAGGCAGTCATACGTAGCTTGCGGTCTTTAGTCAACAGTCTGTCGACAAAGTCCATACCTTCAAGGCTGGTCTCTTTAAAGGCTTCACTGTCAAACACATACTCTGCACTTGAAATGTGCTCAACCATTTTCTGGTGTGATTCAGCAGCAAATGGATTAAGTCCACTAAGGAGGACATATGCAAGAACACCTACAGACCACATGTCAGTGGCAGTGGTGACAAAATCACTGTTGTGGATTTCAGGTGCACAGTACTCAGGGGCAGTAAACTGAATCCTGATGTTTTCTCCAGGTGTAAGCAACCTTGCTTGACCCATATCAATGATCTTGATTGTATTGCTCTTCCTAGTAGAATAAACAATGTTATCAGGTCTGATATCAAAATGACAGTAGTTGTGACTGTGCAAGAACTTAAGGGCTCCACACACTTGTCTCATATACCGAACAATTTCTTGCTCTGTGAGGTCAAAGTTAGTACCAAGACGCTCAAAGATGTCCATACCAGATATGAATTCATAGATAAGGACGTATTCTTCCAGGCTATCAAAGGATTCATGAAGATAAACAATGTTTTTATGTCTTGCAATATTGAGTGTCTCAATTTCTCTTGCAACCAGTTCTCGATCAGCACCTTTAACTTTGATGGATTTTGCCAAGAATGTCTTCTTGGAGCTAATTTCCACACAGCGATGTACAATTCCAAACTGTCCATTTCGTGCAAGTTCCTCAGAGACTGTGTACAGAGATGGCAAAAGTTTAACTTTTGAATGTGGTGCCTCCTCCTTTGTAATCTCTCTTGTTTCATCCACTTCCTCATCATAGTTTCGAATTGCTAACTTGTCTTCTTTTGTTGTCACAGGATCAGTTGGCACAGATGGACCACTCAAGCCGAAATGGTTTTCTGCAATCACACGGAACTGGCATTTTGTTTTGCCAAAGAGACTCATCACGGTGTATTCGGTCTCAGATGTCTGAGCAACACGAATCCATCTGTCTCCAGTGGTAGGGCACTTTTCTATAATGTAATTGATAATTTCACTTCCACCATCATTTCCAGGACTCCAAGTGAGGGTGAGTGTATCTCTGCCAATATCACTGACTTTAACATCTTTTGGTGGATCAGGGACATCAGCAACAGCAAGTTCAACTGTCTGTTTATCCACACCAAATCGATTTTTGGCACAAATGATGTAGTAGCCAGAATCCTTCCTTTGTACTCCCTTTAGGAACACCAGGGAGGTGAAAGATCTTGTGATAATTACTTGATGGTAAGCTGTATTATTAATCATCTCTTGTCCCTTTTGCCAAGTCACAACAGGATCAGGTTTGCCACTAATGGGAATCTTGATGGTAACCACTTCACCACGAATGGCATGAACAGCTCCCATGCCTTGGAGATGTAATGGCAAGTGAATCTTGGCAGGAACTAGAAAATAATAAAATAAATAAAAAATAAAAAACAATCATAAGACAAAAGAGAAGTGCTGCAGGATTATAACACAGCAGTGCTGCAGGATTAAAAAATATACAGATATTGCTTTTAGAAAAGTGCTCAGGTTGAATAGACTTTGTTCAAAACAAACAATTAGAAATACTTACCCTCAACCTCCAGGTTCATACTTTTTGAGATTGATCCAAGCTGATTAGTAGCTCTAATTTGGTAAACAGCTGCATCATTCTCATCAGCATTGCTGATAACAATTTGGAAGTAACCTCCCTTGAATTCTTGGACCTTTGTTTTCTCTCCATCAGGTAAAATTTCTTTGCCGTTCTTGTACCATTTAACCACTGGCTTGGGATGTCCGATAACCTTTGTGACAAATGTTGCAGTTGCCCTGTATTTGACACACATGTCTCTCAATTCTTCCTTGAAGAATGGGGCACGGAGAGCTGTATCTGATTTTGGAATGACTGGTTCTGAAATCTCACTCCAGTCACTCTCTCCACCAATATTTTCACATTTGACACGGAATTCATATTCAAAACCTTCAAGAAGGCCTTTAACAGTGTAAGATGTCTCATGGATTTCTTCTGTAGTAACTGCAATCCATTTGTTCTGTTTTTTCTCTCTTTTTTCAAGGTAATAGTTCTTAATTTTGGCACCTCCATCACTGGATGGTGCTTTCCAAGAAACAACACATGAATCCTTTGTTACAGAAGAAACAAATGGCTTTTGCGGGACTCCAGGTTTCTCTGTTTTAGGAAATAAAGAGGAATACATTTGATAGATAAATTAATAAATAGATTTGACAATGTATATTTTGCTTATTTATTTAAAAAAAAAAAAATTTTAGACTGTTCAAGAGCACTAATCCATGAAACTTACCAAATGGACTCTTGATAATGACAACAGATGGAATCTCAAGAGGTTCACTTATTCCATACTGATTCTGTGCAGAAACCCGGAAGTAATATCCAGCACTCTCAATAAGGTTTGGAACACGGCATGTGGTTCCTGAGATAGCTGATGACACAAGATGCCATTGTTCACCCTCTTTTGCTTCACTTTTCTCTACAATGTAATTCGTGATCATTGATCCACCATCATCCTTGGGTGGTTTCCAGCTAATGATCACAGAACTCTTCAAGAGAGCATCAACAACAATTGGTCCTTCAGGTATTACAGGTTTATCTGGAAAGACAGGGACAGTATTTGTTACATTTTCCAACATATTTTCATGGAAAGCATGTCTATTGCCAGTAAGGTATTTATCTTTTATTAAAAACAGGCTTCAATTTACCTTGGATTTCAACACGAAGAACAGTATCCACTGTGCCAAATTTGTTGCTCATTTGCACTTTATATCTTCCAGCATTTGTCTTACGCTGGACATTTCTGATAACTAAGTGAGTGTAACTTTCTGTGTTTTCAATTATGACATTCTCAGATGGATTGAGAGGCTTCTTGCCATAGAACCACATGATTTGTGGAATAGGGCGACCAATGTAAACGACATGGAGACGTAGGCTTCTTCCACAACCTGCATAGTATTTCTCCTTCAATGGGAATCCAGGATGGAATTGTGGTGCAGCCTGCAACAGGAGCTTGCCACTGGTCTCAATTTCACCTGCCTCATTGATAGCTCTGCATGTGTACAAGCCTTCATCTTCTTGCTCATCTGTGAATACTGTTAGAGAGTGATTTCGTCCATCAGAGCTCATCTTGTACTTTCGGCTCTGGATCAACTCCTTTCCATATCTATACCATTTGATTTCAGGAAGAGGTCTTCCAATAATTTGGCATGCCATTGTTCCAGATTCTCCTAGTTTAGTGCTAATTTCTTTGATTTCCTCTTTCAGGCATGGAGCCTCTCCGACTAGAGGATAAATTGAACATGTTAGTCACTTTGCATACTTTGTGAATGTTGGTGTCAGAAAAAAATCGAAGTAACATTTTATTAACTTACCACTCAGTTTGGTTTTAATGCCCATTGCTGTTCTTCTTGGTCTACTTAGTCCAGCTTCATTTTCAGCAAGCATTCTGAACTCGTACTCTGTAGCTTCCATGAGTCCTCCCATGGTAAACTGTCTGTCCTTTGAACGCTCTTTGTTGCATTTCTTCCAGGCACTTTCACCTGCTTGCCTGTATTCAATCCAGTACCCAAGGATCTCTTTTCCACCATCAGATTCAGGACGTAACCAGTGAATGGTTATGCTGTCCTTGGTTATAGAGATGATGTCAATCTCACCGGGTTGGCCTGGCTTATCTGTTGAAAACAGAGAATAGTTTAAGCATGTAAAAGTACTTTGTATACTTTTTCTTAAGGCAAATTATTAACTTGTTTGGAAGGGAGAGGGGGAGGGTTACATACCAAATGGATCTTTGCACACAACTGACTCGGATACAGGTCCAGGCTCACTTTGACCAACATCATTTTGAGCAATCACACGGAACTGGTACTCTGCATCAGGGATGAGACCAGTGAGAGTATACATTGTCGTTGTGATATGAGTCTTGTTATGACGCACCCACTTCTCAGTGGAAACCTCTCTTCTCTCAACATAGTATCCAGTTACACGAGATCCACCATCATCCTTTGGCCTTGACCAGGATAGGCCAACCGTGGTCTTTGTAACATCCATGATTTCTGGAGGGAAACTAGGAGGTTCTGGTGGACCTTTATGCAAAACAAACAACACAATATAATAATTATTGTTATTTACAATAATTTAAAAGGGGTTATTAAGAAAGATGTTAAAAATAGCAATCATAAAAATGCTTACAAAGAGGAGTCTTTGGTGTAACAGATTCGTCAGATTTCAGGGATTTGCTTATGCCAAATTGGTTCTCTGCTGTAACCTTGAAGTGATATTCAACATTTTCCTTCAGTCCCTTGACCACAAGGGATGTATCGACCACACGTGAGTCAACAGTATACCAAGCTGCTTTAGGCACCTCTCGCCTCTCCACAATGTAACCAAAGATATCAGAGCCTCCATCATCTGAGGGTGGTCTCCAGCTCACTCTGACTGAACGTGCCTGAATATCATCAAATTCAAGAGGACCCTCAGGTGGATCTGGGCGCCCAATAACTTTAACCTTAATATAGACAGCCTTCTTTCCACATTTGTTTTCCAACACAAGGTCATAGGTGCCAGTGTCGTCTCTGTGGGCTTCCTTAATCACAAGCTCAGTACGTTCTTCACTGGTTGCAATCATAGCTCTGTGAGAATTGTCACGACCTTCCTTTGTCCACTTGCATGTTGGGAAGGGTTTGCCCTTGATGGGCACAGATAGCCTGATGACACCACCTTGTCTGACAACATAGCCTTCCTGGTAGATTTTATCCAGCTCAAAATCAGGATATTCTGAAAACAAAATACAGTTTTTACAAAACAAATATGTACTGCCATATACATATATGACAGAATGATATATATATTCTTATTCTCATTATTATGTATTTAATCTTACCAAGCATTTCTGTAACTTTGACCACTCCTGGAATCTCAGCTGGTTCTCCAGCTCCACCAGCATTACATGCCATCACACGGAACTTGTATTCAGCTCCCTGAGGCATGTGTGTCAGAGTGTATTCACAAATCTTTGTTGGTGTTGTGTTGCATTTTGTCCATTCAACCTGGTCAACCTTCTGCATCTCAATTAGATAGCCAGTTATAGCGGCACCTCCCTCTTCCTCCGGAGGACACCAAGCAAGTGAAACTGATGTTCTCGTGGTATCTGTGACTCTTGGGTTCAGTGGAATACCAGGGGGCTCTGTTTAAGAGGAAAATTGAACACATTGGTCATGTTTGTTCTACTGACAATTTGATTTACTTATATATATCCTTCGTACATACCGATAGGATCCATTGCAATAGTTGGTTTAGAGTTTGCACTTGGTTTTCCAGAGCCTCTAGAGTTGATTGCTGTAACTCTATATTCATATTCAAGACCCTCTATAAGTCCTGTGGCTCTGTATCTTGTCATGGTCACTGTATTCTTATTTATACAAATCCATCTGTCAGATCCAGCCTCTTTTCGCTCAATGATGTAGCCAGCAATAGTAGAACCACCATTATCCTCGGGTGGTGACCAAGTAAGTGTCATGCCATCATGAGACATATCAAGTATTTCAGGTGTGCTGGGTGCTCCAGGTACAGCTAGAAAAGAAAGAGATGAATTCAATACATTTATTTTTTAAATAAATTAAATCTAAATAGATATAGAAAACATCAGAGGTAGAAAAAACATACTTTTGGCACTCTTGCACTCAACAACTTCAGATTGCAAGAACCCGCCAATACCAAAACGATTTGTTGCAGCAACACGGAATACATATTCAGTTCCTTCCGCGAGTCTTGTAAATTTGAACATGGGTCTTGTGACAGATTCAGACACTGGCATCCATCCAGGTCGATGCGCATCCCGCTGCTCAACAATGTAACCACTGACATTCGCACCTCCATCTTTCAGTGGTGGTTCCCAGCTGCAGGTCACTGATGTGGCATCAACCTCATCAATTTTCATAGGCCCAACAGGTACTCCAGGTTTGTCTAGGGATGAAATACATTTGGTAAATTTCAAAAACACTTTATATGTAGCTACAAAAAACTGTAGGGAAAAGTAAATTGTTTCTCACCAAGAATGATAACTTTGATGACCTCAGTTGCTGTTCCAGTGACATTTTTCACTTCAAGAGTGTAGTCACCAGTATCATCAATTGTGGTTTCACGGACTGTCAGCTTAGTAAATTTAGCAGTTGTCTCAATCTTGATGCGGTCAAGCTTGTCCTTCATCTTGACTCCACCAAAGAACCATGAACACACTGGTGCAGGTCTACCTTTAATGGGAATGTTGAGCACAATTGGCTTACCAGCTGGCACATTGACAATCTTTTGTGGGATGCCAGTCAAGTCAATCTTTGGCATGACTGTAATGAAAAGAGAAATAACAATAATGAAAGTTTGAAACAAACAATAAATAATATAAAACATTTATTAATTACTGCTTTCCTCATATTATACAGTAGTTTTTAATGATATCTTACCTTTCTGTTCCTGTATTGTTACAGGTGTCATGAGATCTCTGGGCTCACTGACACCTCTGCTATTTTCAGCTCTGATTCTGAAGAGATATTGCTCATTTTCATTCAGTGAGACAATTGTGTGCTGTAGCACAGATGGTTTTGCACTAGCGACATTCATCCAGCGGTCACTTTCAGTTTTGCAGGCTTCAATAACATAGCCAGAAAGTCTGCTGCCACCATCATGAAGTGGTTTTTCCCATCCAAGAATGACAGTAGATTTTGTGGTATCAATTACATACAGATCTTGAGGAACAGATGGAACTTCACAAACCAATACTGGATCAGTAATTTCACAAGGTTCTCCAATACCATATATGTTCTCAGGCAATACCCTAAAGAAGTACTGTGTTCCTTCTTCCAGTCCAGTGATTCTGTATAATGTCTTCTTGCATTCTGTTGTAACTGTTTTGTAAGATTTCATTGAAGCTTCACGCTTCTCAATTATGTAGTTGTTGATGTGAGCACCTCCATCAACAGTAGGCACATCCCATGTGATTACAACAGACTCTTTTGTGTAATCTTTAACATTTACTGCACCACATGGTCCAGGAGTATCTACAAGATAATTTTTAAACAGATTTAAGCTTGTGTTGCTCTAAGTTACATATGGTTTATTTAATTTTAGTGAATGCACAGTATTCATTATTAATTGCAGAAATGTACTCACCATAAACCTTGACAAGAATAGTAACTATTTTCTTGCCAGATGGATTTTCTGCCTCAATTGTGTATTTTCCAGCATCGTAACGATGAACCTTCTCAACTATTAAAGTTGTAGTGTTTTCTGTAGTATCTATGATTCCACGGGATTGTAGGTCAATTCCAGGCTTTCTCCAGGCAACAACTGGTGCAGGTCTTCCAGTTGTAGTTACATGAAGACGTAAAGTGTTGCCAGCCCTGATGCAAACAGTCTTCTTCAGTTCGTCAGGTAGCTCAATATCAGGAATTTCTGAGAGCATAGCAATAACAAATTTCATTCATTAAATCCACATCAAAAAACAGGTCTTTAGGACCTTTAATAGCTTGATGGTGGCTAACTAACTAGACTTTTTAAAAAATCTTACCGACTCTTTCTGAAGGTGCAGCCTCAATACTGCCTTCACTGAACTCTCCAGTACCCATAGCATTGACTGCAGCCACTCTGAAGCTGTACTTTTTGTTACTTGCCAGACCAGCTACTGTGTACTGAGTACTTGTCAGTATCTTCTGTGTGGCTCTATACCATTGCTCTGTTCCCTCCTCCAGAATTTCAACAACATAGCCTGTGACATCGGATCCACCATCATACATTGGTCGTGTCCATGTTATACTAATACTGTGCTTTGTGGTGTCTGTAACACGAGGAACTGATGGTGGAGCTGGGGTATCTGTAAAATTAGAAGGCAGGTTAGGCATGTTACTATTTTTCTGTGTTTAAGATTTTATTAAGGTATACAGGTCAGTGTTACTTACATGTTGGGTCTTTACAGTGAGCGTACTGAGATGCATCACTTGGAACACTGGTGCCAGCAGCATTGACAGCTGCAACACGGAACTGATAATCACTACCCTCAAGGAGACCAGTGATTTTGAGGCGTGTATCATAAATGGTGTAGGTTTTGTTCACTCTTGTCCATCTAACACTACTCTTCTCACGTTTATCCACAAGGTAGTTTTTGATTTCACTTCCGCCATCACTCTCTGGCTTCAGCCACTCAATAATGACATGTTCTTTTCCAACAGCAGTAATCTCTGGTGCTTCCGGAGGTGATGGAACAGCTATAATGTAAATTACAAACACATATTAATACATTATCCTTGTTACTGTAGGTAAACTATAATTATTAATGGGAAACATACTTACTGTAAGCATTTCTTGCAATCACTGGTTCAGACTCTAAGGGTACACCAGGCCCATACTTATTTACACCTCTGACACGGAAAATGTACTCATTGTTCTTGATCAGTTTTGTGCTGACACAAGACAGAGCCTTGCATTCAGCTTCCATGATGACCCAGTTGAGTCTGCTGGTCTCACGTCTTTCAACAATATAGTGAGTGACACGATCTCCACCATCCTCCATTGGCATCTTCCAGGAAACTGTGCATTTCTCTTCTGTGACCCTGCTAATTGTTATTGTACCCTCAGGTGGACCAGGTGTATCTTAAATATAAAAGATTTTCTCATGAAATATACAGCCAATAAAAGGTATTTTGAATGAAACAGTATGTGATTTATTCCATTCTTACCAAGTACTTTAACATTGACAGCAGCTGTTTTGATTCCACTTGCATTCTTCACGGTAAGGATGTATCTTCCAGTATCATTTCTATTACATGACTTAATGATTGCCATCGCTCTTGTACTTGTGTATGTCAGTGAGTATTTCTCTCCGAGTTCCAGCTCCCTGTCACCCTTGGCCCAAAAAACCTTAGGCTCTGGTTTTCCACCAACAGCAGCATCAAGAACCAGGTCTGATTCTGCTCTAATAGTGATCGTCTCACCCACAAGTTTACTATCCAGCTCAGCCTTTGGCGGTGCTGAAATAAATAAATAAAATGCATTAACATATTCATAACAGTAGATATGTGTGTCTAAATATGCATCAATTAAGCAAACCATCTTACTATATTCATCTTTGCATGTGATAAGTCCTGTTGATTCAGATGGCATGCTGTGGACTCCAGCACCATTTCTGGCAATAACACGGAATTCATACTGCTCTCCCTCACTGAGTGATGTAATAGTAAAGAAGTTTTCTGTGATTGTAGTGTAGTTGCACTTCAACCAACGAGCTTCTTCATTATCACTTAATGCCTTGCGTTCAACCACATATCCAACAATCTTGCTGCCACCATCATTGAATGGTATAGACCATCTAATAGACACTGATGTCTTGGTTACATCATAAACCTCTGGTTTGCCAGGTGGATCTGAAAATGCAGACAAAAACACTTGATTAATATTAATTATCATGAATAAAAGCAATACATATGAATGACAGTAGAAAGTAACAAAAAACCTACCAACTGGATTTAGAGCCAGTACTGGTCTTGATGGTTCACTTGCTTTACTCAAACCAGCGATGTTCATTGCATATACTCTGAACTGATACTCGAGGCCCTCAATAAGGTTAGAGACCTTGTAGTGACACTCAAGGCAAGGAATCTTGTTCTCCCTCACCCACAGAATGGTATTACGCTCCTTTTTCTCAATCCAGTATCCAGTTACTTGGCTTCCACCATCATGATATGGCACATCCCAGCGGATAGAAATTGCATTAGCAGACACTGAAACTACATCTGGGCGAGTTGGTGGGCTTGGTGAGACTGAAAACAGAAATGTAACACTTATCAGATTGAAAATAACAAAAATAAATACAGCAGTGTTCATGCTCTATTTCATCAAATCAATAAAAAGTTGTATAAAATATTAAATACTCACTGAATGGATGCTCAGCAACAATAGCTTGAGATTCAATAGACTTGCTAACACCAAACTTGTTCTCAGCACAGACTCTGAAAGTGTACTCCATGTACTTTGTGAGATGAGTTACTTTGATGGTGGTCCGTTTCACACTTGAATTCACAACCTGCCATTTTGTGGAGCCAGACTCACGTTTCTCAACAATATAATTGGTTATGTCTGTTCCACCATCATCTGCAGGTTCTCCCCAAGTCAATACACAGGATTCTGATGATATTCCTGAAATTTCAACAGGTCCAGTTGGTGGGACTGGTCTACCAATGACATTGACAGTGACAGTGAATGTTTTTGATCCGGCTACATTTTCAAGTGTGAGATAGTACTTTCCACTGTCGCCTCTCTTGGCATCCTTAACCAGTAGAGTTGTTCTGTCTTTAGAAATCTTAATCGACACTCTGTCTGTTTCTTTAAGTTTCATTTCTTCAAGCTTCCATGTTACCTTGGGGGCTGGTCTGCCACTGATTGGAATATCAATTGCAAAGGAATTTCCAGTTTTGCAAGTGATGAGCTGTTTATCTATGCCACTGAGATCCGCTGTTGGCTCTATACGTGGCTCCTTTATAATGACAGAGGCTAGGGCATCTCGTGGCTGACTAATGCCAGCATCATTCTGAGCCTTAACACGGAACTCATATTCTGTGTTCTCAACCAAGCCTTCAAGAACCATTTTTAAAGATTTGGTTTGACCACCTATAACCCAGTGATCAGAACCCTTCTTTCTAGTCTCAACAATGTATCTAGTAATGCGGCTTCCACCATCATGCTCAGGCTTCATCCATACTAAACTGGCTGTTGAGGATGTAGTATCAATGACATCCAGTCGCTTAGGAGGTGCAGGTTCTTCTGTGGCTATAATAGGTTCCATCATTTCAAATGGCTCACCTTTGCCATACTGATTTTCAGCAATAACCCGGAAGAAATATGCTACACCAATATCAAGGTTGGCCACTCTTAATATTTGACGTGTACACTTTTCACTGACCTCTTGCCAACTTAACCGACTTGCCTCTCGCTTTTCAACAATGTAGTGATGAACACGTGCACCTCCATCATTGGATGGTGCATCCCACATGAGTGTCAGAGCACCTCTTGTTACATCCTTGAATGAGAGAGGTCCAGGAGGGCCAGGTGTGTCCAACACTTTGACTGTTAATGTAATGGCTTTACGACCACTGTTGTTTTCAAGAGAGAGTGTATACTTGCCAGCATCATACCTGGTGCAATTTTCAATTGTCAAAGTGCTGAATGTGTCTGTGGTATTAATATCCACCATTACACCAAGATCTCTGTCTGCCTTTGTCCATGTGGCAAGTGGGGCTGGTTTTCCACAGAAGGGAATATGAAGTGTAACTGTTCCGCTGCTCTTCACAACATGTGTCTGCTTGAAGTTTGCATCTATATCAATTTCAGGTGAGGTCAGTCTATCAACTGCTTGAACTACATTTGGAGTCTCAGAGAATTCTCCCTTGCCAGCACCATTGACTGCACACACACGGAATTTATATTCTTCACCAGGTTCTAACTCTGTTACTGCGTAATGTGTGTGGATGCAAGTCTGGTTGTTGACTCTGTGCCATTCCTCAAGGCTTGCCTTGCACATCTCAATAATGTAACCAATGATTTCCATACCACCATCAAACACTGGTTTGGTCCATTCCAAGGTAACAGACATCTTGGTGGAATCAATGACCTTCACCAGAGTTGGAGCACTGGGGGCACTTGTTGGTTCTCTGCATTTGAACAATCTGGATGTACCACTTGCAGGTCCAATTCCAGCACCATTTTCAGCCATAACATGGAATTCATATTCATTTCCTTCTGTAAGGTTTGTTACTCTATGCCTAAGCTCAGATATTGGTCTCTTTGCAGAAACCTTCACCCATCTTAAGCTCTTCTTTTCTCGTCTTTCAAGAATGTATTGCTTAATCTCATTTCCACCATCATGTCTTGGTCTTGTCCAGCATAGAGTGATACTGTTTCCTGTCACATGGGTGCAGTCAGGTGTTCCAGGAGCATCTGGTACCGCTGTGAGATATCAAAAATGTGTTAAAGTACAAAAAAATAACAGGTACTAAATTAACAAATGATTGGATCAAGAACAAATATTTTTACTTACTGTATTGCATCTGAGCAATGACTGGCTCAGACTCTAGTGGCTTGCCCACACCAAATTTATTGGCAGCAGATACACGGAACTGATATTCATTGCCTTTAATCAGTTTTGTGGCATTAAAGGAGCAGGCTTCACACTTGGATGTTACAAGTGCCCAAGAAATTCTGGAAGTCTCACGCTTCTCAATTACATAATTAGTGATAGGTGCACAACCATCATTTTCAGGTGGGCTCCACCAAAGAGTTGCTTTCTCTGCAGATATATTTGTGAAGCGGAGCGGGCCCTCAGGTGGTCCAGGGGTATCTGAATAACACAGAGTGAAAATAAGCAATGACCAAATCCAGAACAGCTTTATTAAAACTGAGTCAAAACTGATTTTAGATCATACCTTGTACTCTGACAAGAACATCCACTTTTGTTGTGCCTGAACTGTTCTTGGCCTCAACTGTGTAGATACCACGGTCATTGCGGTCAGCATCACTGATGAACAGTGAGCTTGATCCAATAACAGTTGTGATGTCAACCAGCATTTTATCAACTTCCTTTCCATCTTTATACCATGTGACTTGAGGTACAGGGCGTCCACTTATACTGCAGTTGAGTTTAATATTTTCTCCTGCCTTGATGGCGAGGGTCTTCTCAGCTTCAAACTGAATCTCAGGGATAACTGAAAAGAAAAAAAAGTTTGATTATTTAACATATTTAATATAGAACAATATCTATTGAATGATGCCTTTGTATGTACATACCACTTTCATCCTTGGTCATGATGTAGCCAGATGACTGAGAAGGTGGACTAACTGTTCCGACAGCATTCCTGGCAATTACCCTAAATTCAAAGCGATCACCAGCAGCAAGACCTGTTACAGTAAACTGACATTCGCTGATGTCAATGAAATTGCATCTCAACCAACGTGCTCTTCCTTGACGCCTTTCAACACTGTATGCCACAATCCTACTGCCTCCATCACGCTTCGGTGGTTCCCACTGAAGTGTTACAGAGTCTCTTGTAACATCAATGCAGTTAGGTGTGCCTGGAGGATCTAAAGAAGAAAAAAAAGATATTTTGAAGAAAAGAAGGAATTTTGGCAAAAAAGGTGAATACTGTAGAGCAATTAAAACCATAAGCATAAAAAAAAAAGATTATCATAGACGAATATGACCATAAAGACAATACTAAGACTTACCAACAGGGGAGATTGCCAGTTTGTGCTTGCTCTGTTCACTGACTGGACTCATTCCAGCATTGTTTTGTGCATAAACTCTGAATGAATACTCCAGACCTTCAATAAGTCCAATGACTCTGTATTCTCTTCCAGAGATAACACTGGAATTCACTTTCATCCACAATAAGCTGTTCCTGTCTTTTTTCTCAAGATGGTATCCAGTGATTGGAGAACCGCCATCAAATCCTGGGGCTTCCCACTGAACAGTCATGCCATCACTTGTAACATTGAATACTACAGGTTTTCCTGGTGAACCTGGTGGCTTGTATTGGTGTTGAGCAACCACATCTAATGAGGTTAGAGGCTCGCTCATTCCATATTTGTTCTCTGCACGCACCCTAAATTGGTATTCAGTACCCTTAACCAAATTTGGTATCTTGAATGTGGTCCTGACCACACTAGAGCAAATTATCTTCCATGCTGCTTGAGATTTCTCTCGCTTTTCTACACTATAGCAGGTGATCTCGCCTCCACCGTTGTCCTGGGGTTCATCCCATGAGATGATAATACTCTGGGCTTTAATTTCATCAAAACGAATTGGACCTATAGGCTGAGAGGGTGGCCCAAGTGTAATGACTTTAATGTCAAAGAAGTTCTTGACAAGTTTACTATCAAGGACCAAGGTGTATTTTCCTGCATTCTCCTTTCTTGCATTTCTTACAATGAGACTTGCCTTGTTCTCTGTTTGCCTGAAACGAACTTGTTCACTTTCCTTGAGTGGCACGTCATCTTTCATCCACTGAATCGTTGGTTTAGGTTTACCCTTGTAGGGCAAATCAATATTCACATTTTGTCCAATGCGAACACTTAATTCTGAATTAGGATAGTCAATAAGGTTTGCCTCAGGTGGTATAAGGAGTTCCTTTACAGTGATGGGTCCAATTTGAGAGAAGTCACTGCGACCCTTCTCATTTTTTGCGAATACTCTAAAGTAAACTTCTGAAAGTTCTTTAAGGTGTGTTACCTCATACTGGCAACGCCTGCACGTACCACCAATGCTCCAAGCTTCCTCTTCCTTTGTTTTCTTCTCAATAATGTACTCAGAAATGTGACTGCCACCATCATGATCAGGCTTTGTCCACGCCAACCATACAGATGTATTAGTTGAGTCCACCAGTACAAGGTCTTTTACAGCACCAGGCATCTCGGTTGCTCTTACAGGCTGTGCAGTCTCACAAGGATCACCAACACCATATTCATTTTCAGCAGAAACACGGAAGAAATAGTAAATTTCTTCAGACAGACCATCAACCCTGTAGGTTGTATTGGCACATTCATTTGTCACAATGGTGAATGCCTTCATTTTAGCATCCTTCTTTTCAACAACGTAGTTTGTGATTGGAGAGCCACCATCTATATAGGGTGGTTCCCAGCTCAAAGTGAGTTTACCTCGTGTCACATTCTTCACTATCAACCTATTACAAGCAGATGGTGTGTCTAATACTTTAACAGACACTGTGATGGTTTTTGGCTCTCCAACCCCATTTTCAATTTCAAGAAGATATTTGCCAGTGTCATCCCTTGTGACCTTTGGAATTATGAGTGTAGTTGAGTATTCTGTGTTTCTGATGGCATATCTTGCATCACCACTAATGTTTTTGTCTCCCTTTCTCCATGTTACATTTGGAGCAGGTCTACCCTTAAGAGGGATTACAATCTCCACATCTCTACCAGCCTTTGCTATGTACTGAGTTGACATTGAGATGTCAAGATCCACATCCGCCTCCTCTGTTAAAATTAAGGAGAAACATATTTGATCAGATTCACAGTATCATAATTAAATAATTTCTTTATTGTTTTAGACAGTTAGAAAATACAAACCCAGAATATCTTTGGCTTGCATTGGCTGCACCATCTCAATTGAACGTCCAGTTCCAACACAATTAACAGCAGAGACACGGAAGAAGTAGTACACTCCAGGTTTCAAGTGGGACACTACAAACTCAGTTGTTCTTACTTCTCCTTTAGAACTTATAGTGCCCCATTCGGTCTCATCTGCCATTCTTTGTTCAACAACATAACTTGTAATTTCGCTGCCACCATCATAGACAGGCTTGACCCATCCAAGGGTAATAGATGTCTTTGTTGAATCAACAACTCTGAGCTTGGTTGGCTCACTTGGTGGATCTAAAATAACAATTAAGAGTATATAACAAATTCTGTTTTAAATATCAATGCACACTTTGCACAAATGTATATCCACATTCTGGAAAATAAAGCAATGAAAAGAAATCACAAAATAAGCTCACCAATTGGGTCATAAGCTTTGTAAAAGATGGACACATCAGAATATGGGCCTGCTCCAGCTTTGTTGATTGCACAGACACGATACTGAAATTCATTTCCTTCTGTGAGGTTGTTGACTTTCTGTCTGGTATCACGAATTGGATCTTTAATAACCTTGAACCACTGTAGACTTTTCTTCTCCCTCTTCTCTAAGTAATATCCATCAATGTCACTGCCACCATCTAAACTTGGTCTTTCCCATACCACAGTCATTGTTGACCTGGTAATCATAGTGACTTGGGGTTTAGAAGGCCGACTAGGAGGAACTATGGGGGAAAAATGAAGCATTAAATTACATTAGATAACATATTTAATAATAATAATAATAATAATAATAATAATAATAATAAAAACATTGTTATTACTAAAAATTCTCCTTACCAAAGGAATTCTGTGCAATTACTGGTCTAGATTCCAGAGGATCTCCAACTCCATATTTGTTTACACCACGAACACGGAATATGTATTCATTGCCCTTAATTAGCCTTGGGACTGTGACAATGCAGTCTTCTAGTTTTTCTGAGATAATGGACCACAAAATTCTGCTTGTTTCACGTTTCTCCACAAAGTAGTGGGTAACCATTGCTCCACCTTCATCAGCTGGAGGATCCCACATGATAGTCATAGTATCTGCTGTGACTTTCTTGAACTGTATCTCTCCATCAGGGGGTCCTGGCTTGTCTAATGAAAGTGAGCAAACATTCAACCAAAATTGTTCAAATTAGGGCTAATTAATGCATCACACATGTATTTGTATAGCTGTGTTCATGATACATATTGTTTCAAACAAGCTTTACAAAAAAATTATGTTTCTACAATTAAGAGTGATCCATTATCAGAGGTGACTGTGACCATGTGGCAGAAAACTGTTAGTTAGTTAACATCACATATTAATTTAAGCAGAAGCAATGAACACATTAAAGCAATTATTACATGATGTGGATGAGGTATTCAGTAATAAACTTTGCAACATACCTTGGACAAGTACTCTGACAGCAGCATATGCTGAGCCTAAAGAGTTCTTGATCTTGAGTTCATATGTTCCACTATTCAAACGGCTGGCTTCCCTGATTGAGATGCATGCAGACACAGTGGTGTTGGAAATGGAAATCTGAGCTCCAGACTCAAGCTCTTTTCCATCCTTGTACCATTCAATTGTTGGTTGAGGTTTAGCAATAATACCAATTTTAAGCTGAACTGTAGCACCTGCTTTATATTTCACAACATCAAGATATTCTGGAGGAAGTTCAATCTCAGGGGCACCATATGTATCCACACATGTGACTGGTCCAACAGTTGCTGATGGGTTACTAATGGAGCCAACTGCATTCTTAGCCATGACCCGGAATTCATAAGATTCATTCTGAGTCAAACCTGATACAGTAAACTTTGTGTCAGTAACATTTGTCAAATTAGCTTTTGACCATCTGCCTTTTGGACCATTTTTCCTCTCAATCAAATATCCAGTAATTTTACTTCCTCCATCATATGAGGGTTTCTCCCAGGAAAGGCTAATGGAACTCTTTGTGATATCAGTGACTCTAAGGTTGTTTGGAGATTCTGTGGGGAAAAAACAGTGGCAATTAATGTTAATGTTTCCATTGGATTAAACAAAAAGAAAACTACAATTATCAATACTAATGGATTAAGCACATGTATGCTTACCACAAGCATCAATTGCAAGCACAGGATCTGAGGGCTTGCTAACTGGACCAATGCCAGCAGCATTTTCAGCTGCAACCTTGAACTCATAGATCAGACCAGCATTCACGTTTGATACTTTGAAGTGTGTAGCACGGATAACAGTTGTGTTAACTTTCTGCCAAAGAATGCTGTTTCTGTCTTTCATCTGAAGGTGATATCCAAAGACATGGCTTCCACCATCTGAACATGGCTCCTTCCAGTTAACAGTAATACTTTCCTTTGTTACAGCTGATACCCATGGTTGTGAAGGTGCCACAGGGAGTGCTGAAATTAAATAGAACAGGTTTTCATAAATGCGCATAGATAGATTTGTATTTACCAATTTGTAGCTTATGCTGTAGAGATGAATTTTACTCACTGTATGGAAGACTGACTGTAACAGTTGGTGAATCAATGTGGTCACTGATGCCAAAACGATTCTCAGCCCTGATTCTAAACTGGTACTCAACTCCATTAATCAGCTTCATGATCTTGATTGTGCACCGTGCAACAGCAGATGAGACTTCTATCCAGTTTGCAGTAGTGGTCTCACGTTTGAAAACAATGTAGTTGGTGATTGGGCTACCACCATCATAAGCAGGAGGCAACCATTTTAGACTGACACTGTCTTCTGTGACATCACACATTTCAACAGGACCAACTGGTGGGCTTGGTCTGTCAAGGACCACAATATTCACAAAAGACTTTGTGGTTCCACTGGAGTTGGAGGCCGTGATATCATATCTGCCTGCGTCTGAAGCAACACTTTCACGCAAAGAAATTATAAGGGAGTCAGTTGTCACATCAGAGTTGAATCTCATGGTTGACTTTAGAACCTGTCCATCCTTAGATAGGGATACTTTTGGTAGTGGTTTACCAGTGAGGGGGATCTCAATCTTGAGATTTGAACCTGCCTTAACATAGGCAGTGTTGTGTTGGAAGTCCTTCATGTTAATTTCAGGTGCCTCTGTTGATTAAAGAAAGCAATAAGAATATATAATAATTTAACATCAGGTAAAACTAATCAATCAAACATTGTGTATGTTTAAAAATAAAACATCATTAATAAATAACTTGCCCAGCTGATCTTTTACAAGCACAGGTAAAACCATGTCCTTGGGGTCACTAAGTCCAGCATGGTTTTCAGCCCGAACTCTGAAGTAGTATTCAGCATTTTCTCTCAATCCATAGACAACAAAGTGAGTTGATTTGGTAGAACCACACTTTATCCATTTTTGTTGTCCTTTTTCAAGAGCCTCAACCAGGTAATTTGTAATTCTGCTACCTCCGTCATGTTCTGGTTTAAGCCATGCTAGTGAGACACTGTCTTTTGTGACATCAGTGACTCCAAGCTTGGGTGGTGGACTTGGTTTTTCTAAAAATTAAAAGTATCACATAAGCAAAAAATATGTATCAAAGATTTGAATTAATCAAATAAATGTGCTACAGAAAATATACAACAAAATAATTTTATTTTACCTGTAATCTTTGTTCCTTCTTTGGTCTCAAGTGGGACTCCTATACCATACTCATTTTCACCGGTAACTCTGAAATAATAAACACCCCCTTCTTGAAGATCATTAACTTTAAAAGTCAACCTGGGACAACTGTCTGTAATTCTGGTCCAGCCCATTTTAGTTGCCTCACGAAGATCAACAAGGTAGTTCTTGACTGGAGCACCACCCTCATTCTCAGGAGTATCCCATGTAATAGTTGCAGAGCTCTTGGTGACTTCCTTTATTTCAATGTGGGCTGGTGGGCCTGGAGAATCTAGGACCTTTACACTCAATGTCAGTGTAGAAGTTCCAGCAACATTTTGGAGGGTTACAGTGTATTTCCCTGAGTCATCTCTTGTAGCTTGCTCAATTGTGATAGATGTGCAGTTATCGGTTGTATCAATAGCAGCCCTCACTCTCAGATCAACATCTGGTTTGTTCCACATTACATGTGGTACAGGCTTTCCCTTGAATGGGACTCTAAGTGTAAATGAGCTGCCATCTTTGACAATCAGTGTCTTCCTCATTTCATTACTGATTAGGAAAACTGGCTCATCTTCTCTGTCTTTTGCTATCTGAGGATCAGTTTCAGGACTTGGCTCACTTTGACCAATCTTGTTAAGTGATCTGACTACAAAGACATACTCTGCTCCTGAAGTGAGTCCCACCACAGTGAACTCTGTGCTCTTAGTGTTACTGACACCAAGTGTCCAGTCATCATCATTGGTTTTCCTATATTCCACCATATATCCTGTAACTGGAGAGCCACCGTCAAATAATGGCTTGTTCCAAGACAAAGTTATTGATGTTTTAGAAGAATCGATTATTTTAGGTTTAGCTGGAGGTGATGGTAGGAACAATGGATCCTCTGCCTTTGTCAGTGGGCAAGGCACACTTGGGGCACTCAAACCAGCAGCATTCTCTGCAAATACTCTGTATTCATACTCACATCCTTCACGGAGATTGGAAGCTTTTACTCTTAAGTCATAAACAGGCTTTTTGTTGACACGTACCCAGCGGAGACCAGATTTCTCACGTTTCTCAATTACATAGCCAGAAATACTACTGCCTCCATCAGAGACAGGTCTTTCCCAGCAAATTGTCATTGCTTCACTTGTAACACTGGTGACATCAACATTTGTAGGTGCAGCAGGGATTGTAAATGGATCCATTGCCTTAACAGGATCACTCTCCAGAGCTTCACCGGTTCCATATTTATTAACTCCCCGAACTCTAAATATATACTCATTGCCTTTGAGCAGTTTTGTTGCTTTACATGTTGTGGCTTTCATATCTGCATAGACCAGAGTCCAGGCAAGCCGGCTTGTTTCACGTTTCTCAACTATGTAGTGCTGAATTTCAGCACCTCCATTTTCTTGAGGTGGTCCCCAGTTCAATGTACATTTCTCTGCAGTCAGACCAGTTACTTCCAACGGTCCAGCTGATGGGCCAGGCCTGTCCAGGACCTTACAGTTTACTGCCAAAGATCTGGTGCCTGCAACATTTTGCAATGTTAGAACATACTGTCCAGAGTCTCGTCTAATGGCATCTCTCACAATTATTGTTGTACTAGTGAGTGTTGAAGAAATCTCAAATCTGGCCTTGGCTTCAATTTCTTTCCCATCCTTTGCCCATGAAATCACAGGAATTGGACGTCCTGATATTTCAGCATCAATTCTAAGTATGTCTCCAGCTTTCACTACAACCAGTTGCCTTAGCTTGTCCTCAATTGTGATGCGTGGTGGATCAACATCATCTTTTACAGTGACAGGTCCTGTACCCTCTGATGGTTCACTGAGTAAGCCAGCTGCATTCTTAGCAATTATATGGAAATCATATCTCTGATCTTCAATCAGACCAGTCACGTCAAAGAATGTTTCTTGAAGATTGGTGAAATTACACTTTAACCATCGTCCATCTGGAAGTTCCCTGCGTTCAACAATGTAGCCAGTCACCTTAGCTCCACCATCAAACTCAGGTATTGCCCAGGAGAGAGAAACAGATGTTCTTGTGATGTTCATAACTACTGGCTGACCTGGAGGTGCACATGGATCTCGGGCAGAAACAGGATCACATGCCTTTGTGCAAGGTCCAATGCCAGCTATATTCTCAGCATATACTCTATACTGATACAAGAGACCTTCTTCCAAACCAGTTACCTTGAACTGAGTTTCTGTAATAGGCCCTCTGTTCATCTTTGCCCAGAGAATGCTGCTCTGATCTTTGCATTCCAAGTGATATCCAAAGACGGGACTGCCACCATCACTTGCTGGTCTGTTCCAGGTAACTAGCATTCCTGATTTAGTGGCTTGAGCAATGTGAAGACTGGTTGGAGGGCCTGGAGGTGAGAAGGGGTACTGTGCAACTACTGGGGCAGAGTCAATTGCATGGCTTTTTCCATAACGATTCTCTGCAGCAACACGGAACTGATATTCTGTTCCTTGTGTCAAACGAGTTACTTTGATTGATGTTCTAGCAACTGTTGCTGAAACAATTTGCCATGCTGTAGTGGTCATATCTCTCTTCTCGACTACATAATTATTAATTTGACAACCACCATCATAAATTGGAGGGTCCCATGATAGTGAAATAAAATCAGCACTTATTTCCTCTACCTTGATTGCACCTGGTGGACCTGGTTTATCAAGAACAATAACAGATATTTCTGCTGATTTAATGCCAATCGAATTGGTTAAAATAATTTCATATTTTCCAGCATCCTCTCTTGTTGAATCCTTGATGACAATCTTTGATGATGTCTTTGATGTCAAAACATTAACTCTGGTTGTTTGCTTCAATGAGTGACCACCCTTTTTCCATGTAACCTCTGGAAGAGGTCTGCCTCTGAATGGAACATCTATTTTGAGATCATCTCCAGCCTTCACACTGTAGGTATTAAACAGCAAATCAATAATGGGTTCAATAGTAATATCTCGTGCCACAACAGATGCTCCCAGGGGTTTAGGATCACTCTTTCCTTTGTCATTAACTGCTGCAATTCTGAAACTGTATTCCTCTCCTGTTGTAAGTCCTTCAATTGTGGTTTCCAGTGCCTTTACTGTAGCACATACAGTCCATTTATCTGATCCCTTAGTAATCATTTCCACTGTGTAGCCTGTGATTTTGCTGCCACCATCATGATCTGGCTTTTCCCATGCTAGAGTAATAGTGTGGCGAGTTACATCAACAACTGTAATTTTACCAGGTGGTAAGGGTGCTTGGGAAACTTTGACAGCCTCTATGGTCTCTGCAGGCAAACCAACACCAAGTTCATTCACAGCCAAAACACGGAAGTGGTAAAGACCTCCTTCTTGGAGATCATCAACTTTGAATGAATTTCTGACACAGCTATTTGTCACAGTTGTGAATGCCAGCCTTTTAGATTCACGCTTTTCCACAATGTAATGGGTGATCCTGGCTCCACCATCAATTTGTGGAGGCTCCCACTGTAGCTGGACAGAATCTCTCTTTACATCCTTAATTTCAAAATTCACTGGAGCACTTGGAGAGTCAAGGACCTTGACATTAATAAATGAAGATTTTGTGCCACTATTATTTTCAAGGGTCACAACATATTTTCCAGTATCAAATCGGTTAACATTGTCAATAACAAGCACAGTGTAAGAGCCTGTTACTTCAATTTGAGCCCGCTCTGGTAAGATACCATCTGCCTTTGTCCACTTAACCTCTGGCTCGGGCCTTCCCCTTATGGTGACAAATAACCGAAGTGTTGCACTGGCACGCACAGTCACACATTTCCTAAGATCTGCATCAAGTTCTATCTCAGGAGCTTCAAGATTTTCAGCAGCAATTACAGATCCTGGAACATCAACATGCTCTCCAGCCCCCTCAATATTAAGTGCACAAATACGGAAGTTGTATTCTGCATTTTCCTTTAATGTTTTGACGGTGAAGTGAGTTGTTTGCACACCGGTTGGTGGAGTGCATACTGTCCATTCATCTTCACTAACTTCCTTTGCCTCAACAATGTATCCTGAGACCAGTGCTCCACCATCATAAATTGGTCTACTCCATGCCAAGGAAACAGTTGTGCTTGAGTGATCTGTTATTTTAGGATTATTAGGAGGACCAGGAGGATAAGTTGCATCACAAGCTTTGTAATATTGAGATGGTTCACTTGGTGTGCCCACACCAGCAGCATTTTCAGCAGATACTCTGAATTCATAGAAGTGTCCCTCTGTAAGCCCAGTGGCTCTGAATCTCAAGTCATTCAGTCTTTTCTTGTTACACTTTGTCCATCTTATACCCTCTTTATCACGTTTCTCAAGAACATAACCATCAATTTGTGATCCGCCATCGTCCTCTGGCCGTTCCCATGTAAGGACTATTGAGTCTCTGGTGACTGCACTTGCTTCTGGAGTTGAAGGTGGTCCAGGTTTGTTGAAAGGATTTTTTGCAAGGACAGGTTCAGATTCAAGTGGTTCGCCAATACCATATTTGTTCACTGCCATGACTCTGAATATATACTCATTACCAGGTAGGAGTTTAGTGACTTTGTAACTAATTGCTTGAATTTTAGGTTCCACTACTGTCCATGACAGTCTGCTAGTTTCTCTCTTTTCAATAATATAATGAGAAATGCCAGCTCCACCATCATGTGATGGGTGGCTCCAGTGCAAATAGCATTTTTCTGCTGTGACACCAGTTACATTCAGAGGGCCATCAGGTGGACCAGGTCTATCAAGAACTTTGACACTAATGGGTACCTGTTTGGTTCCACCAACATTACTGAGATTTAAGAGGAAATGACCACCATCTACTCTAATGCAGTCCTTAACAGTCAAAACTGTTTGTGTGATGGTGGATTTAATCTCCATTCTGGGTGTAGCACTGTCAATTTCTTTTCCATCCTTAAGCCACATAATATCAGGAAGAGGTTTTCCAGCAATGTCTGCATCAATAGCAAAGGACTCACCAGCCTTTACAGTGATAACATCTTTAAATTTTGAATCCATGGAGACAGATGGAGCTTCAATCTCATCCTGAGCAGTAATTGGTCCAGTGCTTTCAGAGGGTACACTTAAATTACCAGCTGCATTTTTGGCAATTACTCTAAATTCATATCTTTGTTCTTCTTCCAATCCAGTTATTGTAAATTGTGTGTGTATAATATTTGTAAAGCTGGCCTTCATCCAACGACCTTCAGGCAGCTTCTTCCTTTCAATAATGTATCCTGTAATAGCACTGCCACCATCATACTGTGGTTTTGCCCACTGAAGAGTTACTAGGTTTCTTGTGATAACAATGGCTTCAGGAGTTCCAGGGGGATCACAGGGATCACGTGCAACAACACTTTCTGAGACTTTGCTTGATGGACTGATTCCTGCCATATTTTCAGCAAACACTTTATATTCATATTCAATTCCCTCCTCCAGACCATTTGTTTTGAATCGAGTGTCAGCGATAAGAAGCTTGTTAAGTTTGGTCCATAAGATGCTGTTCTTTTCTTTACGCTCAAGGTGATACCCAATAATAGGGCTACCTCCATTATTGCTGGGGGGTTTCCATTCAATTGTCATGTGGTCTTTTGTCACTGATGAAACAAATGGTGCACCAGGAGCTACAGGCTCAGTAAAAGGATAACTGACCACAACTGGCGCTGAATCTAACGATGTGCTCTTTCCATATCTGTTCTCAGCAAACACTCTAAACTGATATTCAGAACCAGTCTTCAGCTTTGTGACTTTTATTGTGGTACGAGCAATGGTTGCTGAAACAATCTGCCAGTTAGTAGTGGTTGTATCACGTTTTTCCACTATGTAGTTGTTTATCTGACAACCTCCTGTGTATACTGGTGGCTCCCAGGAGATGGTAGCATAGGTGGCACTTACTTCATCAATTTTAACCGGTCCAACTGGTGGGCCTGGTTTGTCAAGAATGATTATGCCAACCTCTTCAGTGACCGTACCTATATTATTTGTAGCTGTAACTGTGTACTTGCCAGAGTTCTCTCTATTTGCATCTTTAATTTTAAGAACTGTTGAAGTTACAGTGCTTGAGACATTTAATCTGGTCGTCTCTTTCAGTGCTTGTCCATCTTTCATCCATGCAATCTTTGGAGTTGGACGCCCTTTAAATGGTATTTCCACTTTGAGATCTTCACCAGCTTGAACGCTGTATGTGTTGAAAAGTAGTTTGAAGCTTGGTTCAATAGTAACATCTTTGGCTACGACAGGAGCAGTCAATGGCCTTGGATCACTTTTTCCTTTCTCATTGTAAGCTAAAACTCTGAAGAGGTACTCTTGTCCTGAACTAAGTCCTGTCACTGTACCTTCACCTGTTTTGGTGACTGTAGCAATTGTCCATTCCTCTGATCCTTTTGGCTGCATTTCAATATAATAACCCAAGATTCTACTACCACCATCATGATCTGGTTTATCCCATGAAAGTGATGCTGTGGTTTTTGTCACATCAGTCAAAGTTACCTTGCCGACAGATAAAGGAGGATCTGCTGTCTTCACAGATTCTTCTGTTTCTACAGGAAGACCAATTCCAAATTCATTTTCTGCCATGACTCTGAAGTAATAAACACCACCTTCTGTCAAATCACCAACACGGAAGCTGGTCTTGGAGCACTTGGTAGTAATGTTTACAAATCCTTGTCTATTCGATTCTCTCTTGTCAATGATATAATTTTTGATTTTTGAACCACCATCTATAAGTGGAGGTTCCCAAACAAGGGTGGTGTAGTTTCTTGTTACATCTTTCACAACAAGGTTCTGTGGAGCACCTGGTGTATCGAGTACTTTTACTGACACAAAGGCTGATTTAGTGCCAGCATTATTTTCCAAAGTCAGAGTATATTTACCAGCATCATTTCTGTCACATATATCAATTGATAACTGAGTGTAATCTGGTCCCTTTTCTATTTGGGCTTTATCTGGTAAATCTCCCTCATCCTTGGCCCAGTTTACCTCAGGAATGGGGCGTCCTTTGAATGGTATGTTGATTCTCATATACCCTCCAGCATGCACAACAATTCCTTTCCTCAACTCCGAGTCAAGCTCAATTTCAGGGGGATCCATCTTATCCACTGGTTTGACAGTTCCTTGGATAGACACTGGCTCACCAACACCCAGTTTATTAAAAGCACATATGTGAACTTTGTATTCTTGGTGTTCAGTAAGTTTAGTTATTGTAAATTTAGTATCATTTAATCCAGAGGGTGGAGTACATGTGGTCCATTCTTCTTCATCAGCTTTACATATCTCAACAACATAGCCTTGGATGTCTAAACCACCATCATATATTGGTCTACTCCATGCAATTGTGACTGAATTCTTTGTAGTGTCAACAAGGTGTGCATTAGTTGGTGGGCCAGGCTTAAATGTTGGATCACAGGCTTTGTAATAAACAGATGGTGGACTTGGCTGTCCAACTCCAGCAGCATTTTCTGCAGATAACCTAAATTCATATTCATGATCCTCTGTCAAGCCTGTGACTCTGAAACGTAAGTCTGTGACTCTGCGTTTGTTACATTTTGTCCACCGCACTCCAGCTCTGTCTCTCTTCTCTACAATATAACCAATAATTTCACTTCCACCATCAGTCTCAGGACGAGTCCAGCATACTGTCATAGAATCCCTTGAAATATTTGTTACTTCTAGTTCTTTAGGTGGCCCAGATGGAACAAAAGGATTTCTCATATTCACTGGTGCAGATTCAAGTGGTTCACCAACTCCATACTTGTTGACAGCCATGACACGGAATATGTATTCATTTCCTTTTAAAAGTTTAGTAACTTTAAACATGGTTGCTCCACAATCACCTGAAACTACAGTCCAAGCAAGGCGACTTGTTTCTCTCTTCTGTATGATATAATGAGAAATGCTACTGCCACCATCATGTTTTGGAGGCAGCCATGACAATGAGCACTTCTCACATGTTACACCAGAGACAGAAAAAGGACCTTCAGGGGGTCCAGGTCTATCAAGGACTCTTACACTGAAGGACACAGACTTTGTTCCAGCCACATTAGTGAGGTGCAATGTGTACTGTCCTCCATCAATTCGAATGGCATCTTTGACAACAAGAATTGCTTTCAAGTCAGTGTTCTTGATTTCAGCTCTTGCTGAATTTTCAACTTCCACATCACCCTTAAACCACTGCATTGTTGGAACCGGCTTTCCTAGTATGGATGCTTCCAGGGTAAATGTGTCTCCGGCATTCACGGTCAAAATTTGGCTATACTCTGAGGCAACCTCATAGGTTGGTGGTTCAACTTCATCCTTAGCTGTAATTGAGCCTGTGCTCATAGAGGGTCTACTAACTGATCCAGCTCCATTTCTGGCAATAACTCTGAAATCATATTTGCAGTCTTCTATCAGGCCTGTGACTGTAAATTCAGTTTCAATAATATTTGCAAAACTAGCTTTCATCCAACGACCCTCTGGCAGGTCTCGTTTCTCCACAACATATCCAGTGACAAGGCTGCCTCCATCATATTCCGGTGGTGTCCATCTAAGTTTCACTGAGTGTCTTGTCACAATCACTGGCACAGGGGTGCCTGGTGGGTCACATGGGTCACGTGCCACACAACCCTCAGAAATTTTGCTGCACATTCCAATTCCAACTATGTTTTCAGCATAGACTCTGAATTCATATTCAATGCCCTCTTCCAATGGAGATGTTTTAAATCTGGTGTCTTGAATGAGTATTTTATTGATCTTTGTCCAAAGAATGCTATTTTTCTCTTTTCTCTCTAGATGATATCCTAGAATAGCACTTCCACCATCTGAGACTGGCTTGTGCCATTCAACAACCATAGATTCTTTTGTGAATGCAGACACAAATGGAGTTCCTGGAGGCCCAGGCTCCTTGAAAGGATACTGGGCGAGAACCGGATCTGAGTCAATGCCATAGCTTTTACCATACCTATTCTCAGCAAAAATTCTAAACTGGTATTCAGCTCCAGTTTTTAAATTACTAACTTTAAGTGTGGTTCTTGCTACTGTGGCAGAAACAACTACCCAGTTAGTGGTGGTGGTGTCTCTCTTTTGGACAACATAATTTGAAATCTGGCAGCCTCCAGTGTATGTTGGTTGGTCCCAAGATAATGTAATGCTCTCTGCACTCACTTCATCAATCCTGACTGGGCCAGTTGGTGGGCCAGGCTTTTCAAGTATAATTATTTCAACTGTGGCTTCTGCTTGTCCAAGTACATTAGCCACAGCAATGTTATACATACCACCATCTTCTCTTGTTGCATCTTTGATGGTAAGAGTGGTATGATGTGCAGTGTCAGCAACATTTACTCTTGTGGTCTGTTTCAGAGCTGAACCATCTTTGGTCCATGTAATAGTTGGTTTTGGATGACCAGAAATTCGTGCTTCAATTTTCAAATCTTGCCCAACCTGTACATTGTAGGTGCTAAGTTTTGTTCTTACTGTGGGCTGAATAGCAAGGTCCTTTGCAACAACAGGATTTGCCAAGAGTCTGGGATCACTCTTTCCTTTGTCATTAACGGCAATGACTCTGAAATTGTACTCCCCACCTTGGACTAAATTAGTTACAACAGTGTCGAGGGATTTTACTTGAGCACAAAGAGACCATTTATCTTGATCCTTTGCTTGCATTTCAACTTCGTAATAAGTAATTCTGCTGCCTCCATCATGCTCTGGTTTTTCCCATTTGAGGGAAACACTCTTCCTTGTAACATCCACTACAGAAACTTTACCAGGGGGTTGTGGCACCTCTGAGATTTTTATTGGTTCTAGAGTCTCTGCAGGCAATCCAATACCATGTTCATTTTCAGCAAGAACCCTGAAGAAAAAGTTGCTTCCCTCTTGGAGTGGTTCAATTTTCCATGTCATCTTGTTGCAGGTACCAACAGCAGAGTATACCTTTCTTGTACTCTCTCGTTTTTCAACAATGTAATTTTTAATTTTAGCTCCACCATCAAGCAACGGTGGCTCCCAGCTAAGAGTGACTGAATTATTTGTTATTTCCTTCACATGGAAGTTTGCAGGTGCATCAGGATTGTCTAATACTCTGACACTAATAAATGCCGATTTTGTTCCACTGGCATTTTCCAGAGTTAAAGTGTATTTTCCACTGTCAAATCTATTAACATTTTCAATTATGAGTGAAGTGAAACTGCTTGTAATATCAATTTGAGCTGCCTCGTTGATTTCACCTTCAGCCTTTCCCCACTTGACTTCAGGAGTTGGCCGTCCACGAATAGGAACAAACAATCTTAGAGAGCCTCCAGCCCTGACAGTAATCATCTTTCTCAGGTCAGCATCAAGATCAATATCTGGTGCCTCAAGTTTATCCTCTATGATAATGGATCCTGGGATATCAGCAGTTTCTCCCACACCAACCTTATTTATGGCACAGATTCTGAATTTGTACTCATGCTTTTCAAGCAGTTTTTTAACTTCAAATCTTGTCTCTGTTATTCCAGAGGGTGGTGTACACATCATCCATTCATCGAAAGTGACTTCACATGCCTCAACAATGTAACTCTGAATTTCACAGCCACCATCATAAATTGGCTTTCCCCAATGCAGGACAACAGATGCTCTTGAGACATCAATTACCTTGGGGTTGTTTGGTGGACCAGGCTTGAAGACTTGATCCACTGCCTTGAAGTACACTGTGGGTGGACTTGGTTTACCAACTCCAGCTTTATTCTCAGCAGACACACGGAATTCATAACTTCGGTTTTCAAGAAGTCCTGTTACTCTAAAGCGTAGTTCACTCACTACACGTTTGTTGCATCTTGCCCACCTAACACCTTCTTTGTCTCTCTTTTCAACAATATATCCTGTAATTGCATTTCCGCCATCATTAGTGGGTCTTTGCCATGTGATAACCATGGAATCCTTTGTTATATTTGACACTTCAACATTACTTGGTGCATCAGGTGGGACAAATGGATTTGCTGCAATCACTGGATCAGATTCTAAAGGCTCACCAATTCCATATTTATTTACAGGTATCACTCTGAAAATATACTCATTTCCAGGAAGGAGTTTTGTAATTTTAAGATTGAGGGTTTGTACCTTAGATTCCACAACAGTCCAAACTAAGCGGCTGGTCTCTCTTCTTTCCACAATGTAATGAGACACCTCCGCACCTCCATCGTGCAATGGAGTTTTCCAGGCAATGCAGCACTTTTCACTGGTAACCCCATAGATTGAAATTGGGCCATCTGGAGGCCCAGGTCTGTCCAGAACCTTGACATTGACAACTACTGATTTCTCTCCACCAACATTTTTTAATAGCAAGGTATACTGGCCTCCATCAACACGGATAGCCTCCTTCACACTAAGAGTAGTTGTGAAGTCAGTATTCTTTATCTCAAGTCTTGCAGTATTTGTAAGTTCTTCGCCAGATTTTATCCAGTGAACTGAAGGAATAGGTTTGCCAAGTATTCTTGCATCTACTTTGAATGATTCTCCAGCATTAACAACAATAGTTTGAGAATATTTGGCATCCAAGTCAATTTGGGGTGGATCAACTTCATCCTTGGCTGTGATTGCACCAGTACTGTCTGATGGAACACTAGACACACCTGCAGCATTTTTTGCAATGACACGAAATTCATACTGCTGCTCCTCTACCAAACCACTGACAACAAATTCGGTCTCAATGATATTCGTAAAAGAAGCTTTCATCCAGCGGCCATTAGGCAATTCTTTTTTCTCAATGACATATCCTGTAATCTTGCTGCCGCCATCAAACTGTGGTGGTGTCCACCTGAGTGTTACAGAGCTTCTGGTGACAATCACTGCTTCAGGTTTGCCTGGAGGGTCACATGGATCTCTAGCCACCTGGATTTCTGATACTTTGCTTGCCTTGCTTAGACCAACTATATTCTCAGCATAAACTCTAAATTCATATTCAATGCCTTCTTCAAGGCCACCTATCTTGAATCTTGTGTCTGGAATGAGTGTTTTGTTTTGCTTTACCCACAACAAGCTGTTTCTTTCCTTACTCTCAATGTGATATCCCAAAATCTTGCTTCCACCATCACTACTGGGTTTGTTCCACACAATAACCATGCTTTCTTTAGTAGCAGATTGAACAGTTGGAGTTCCTGGTGGATTTGGAACCTCAAAGGGATATTGTGCAACAACAGGCTCAGACAAAAGAACTGAACTCTTTCCATATCTATTTTCAGCAGCAATCCTAAATTGATATTCACAGCCAGTCTTCAATCTTGCAGCTTTAGTTGTTGTTCTTGCCACTGTTGCAGATACAATCTGCCAGTTGGTGGTGGATGTATCTCGTTTTTCCACAATATAGTTATTAATGCTACAGCCTCCCTCGTACTCTGGAGGCTGCCATGACAATGTAACACAGTCTGCAGTTACCTCCTCTATTTTGATTGGGCCAGTTGGTGGTCCAGGTTTATCAAGTACAATAACATTGATGTCTGCTGTAGCTTCACCAGCTAAGTTTGTCAGTTTAATAGTATATTTGCCCACATCATCCCGTGTTGCCTCTTTTATCACAAGGTACAGGTGTCTCTCTGCTATTTCAGCATTTACTCTTGTTGTCTCTTTCAGAGCAATACCATCTTTTTGCCAGGTAACTGCTGCCTTGGGCTGAGCAACATAAGGCACATCAATTTTCAGATCATCACCTGCCAGAACACTGAATGTGCTGAACAAAAGTTTGAAGGCAGGAGCAATAACAACATCCATAGCAACCACAGGGACACTAAGTGGACGTGGATCACTGGTTCCCTTTTCATTAGTTGCTGAAATACGGAAGAAGTATTCTTCACCTTGTGTTAGGCCAACAACAACTGCCTCTGTTACTTTAACAGTCATTACTTGCGTCCATTTTTCACTGTTTTTCCCTTGCATTTCAACAGTATAACCCGTAATTCTGCTTCCTCCATCATGGTCTGGCTTCTCCCAAGAAAGTGTTACACTGTTGCCAGTTACTTCTTTTAGAGTCACTTTTCCAGGAGGAAGAGGTCTCTCAGAGATTTTTATAGCTTCCGTGGTATCTACTGGAAGACCAACACCATACTCATTTTCAGCCAAAATTCTGAAGAAATACATGCTTCCTTCTTGTAAGTCTCCAATTCTACAACTTGTTTTGGGACAGGAGGTATTAACGATGGAATATGCTTTTCGTGTAGATTCACGTTTTTCAACAATATAATGCCTGATTCTTGATCCACCATCAATGACTGGAGGATCCCAGATGAGGGAAGCAGAAACTTTTGTGATTTCTTTGATTGTAAGGTTCTGTGGTGCATCAGGAGTGTCAAGAACTCGGACATTAACAAACGCCGTTTTAGTTCCTGAACTGTTTTCCACTGTTAGCATGTATTTTCCACCATCAAATCGGTTTACATTCTCGATAACCAATGTGGTGAAAGATGATGTAATTTCAATTGATGCTTTATTAAGGGGTTCACCTGTCTCCCTTGACCATCTGACTTCTGGTGCAGGTCTTCCTTTAATTGGCACAAATAATCTTAAGTTACTGCATGCTCTGATGTTCACTACTTTGCGAAGGTCTGAGTCAAGCTCGATTTCAGGTGGAAGGAGTCTGTCTTCTGCTTTTGGTGAACCAGGTACAGAGGCTGGCTCTCCAACACCTTCACAGTTAAGAGCTGAAATATTGATCTTATATTCTTGGTTTTCAATAAGGTTGGTTATGGTGAATGATGTTGCTGTTAGCCCAGCCTTTGGAGTGACAACTGTCCATTCATCTTCCTCTGGCAGGCATGTTTCAACAATATAACCTGTGATATCTGAGCCACCATCATAAACTGGTTTATTCCAAGCAATAGTAATGGATGACTTACTTGTATCCAAAACCCTGGGATTTCCAGGGGGTCCAGGTTGAAATATTGTGTCACATGCTTTGTAGAATGGACTTGAAGGGCTTGGTGCACTTAAGCCAGCAGCATTTTCGGCTAGGATTCTGTATTCATACTCATGTCCAGGTGTTAGTCCTGACACTTTGAAGCGCAGATCAGTAACAGTTCTTTTATTGCATTTTACCCAACGAAGACCAGTTTTATCTCTCCTCTCAATGATGTAGGTATTTATACTACTTCCACCATTGTGTTCAGGATGTCCCCAACACACCACCATTGAATGTTTTGTGATAGCAGTTACTTCTGGTGCCTGTGGAGGATCAGAAGGCACATATGGGTTAGTGGCAACAGCAGGCTCAGATTCAAGAGGTTCTCCAACTCCATACTTGTTCACAGCCATGACTCTGAAAATATATTCATTTCCTTTCAGCAATTTGGTAACCTTATAGCGGTTTACTTGTAAATCCGTGGCTACATTTGTCCATGTAAGTCTACTTGTTTCACGTCTCTGAATGATGTAATATTCAATCTTTCCTCCTCCATCATGAAGTGGTGGCAGCCATGACAGAATACATTTCTCTGTTGTCATGTCTGTGACATGCAGTGGTCCATCAGGTGGGCCAGGTCTGTCAAGAACTTTAACGTTGAAGACAAATTTGGCAAATCCTCCCGGATTGCTAGCAGTTAGAGCGTATGCACCGCCATCTCTACGTAAAGAATCTTTGTTAATCAAACAAGTATAGAAATCTGATGTTTTGATCTCTAGTTTTCCAGTGTCCTCAAGCTCCTTGCCATCTTTAGTCCAAACCAAGGATGGAATTGGGCGACCTGTAACACGTGCATCTAGCTTGAAGACATCTCCTGCTTTCACTACCACAGCACTACTGAAACTTGCATCAGCATCAATTTTTGGCTCTTCAATGTCATCTCTGCAGACCATGACCTCTGAAGGTTTAGATGGTTTGCTGACAGCCCCAGCTGAGTTCATTGCTAATACACGGAATTCATAAGAAGCATCTTCTGTGAGACCACTAACAGTAAAGTTTGTTTCAAGAATGTTGCTGAAGTTGGCTTTGAGCCAGCGACCATTAGGCAGCTCTCTTTTTTCAACTGTATATCCAGTTATTGAGAAACCACCATCGCCCTCTGGCTTTGACCACTGAAGAGTAACTTCATGTCTAGTTATGTTAAGTGCCACTGGTTGACCTGGGGGGTCTACAGGATCAAGTGCATATGTCATCTCAGATGGCTTGCTTGCTTTGCTGAGACCAGCCAGATTTTCTGCAATAACACGGAATTCATATGCAATACCATCAATCAGACCTGGTGATTTAAGCATATTGCCAACAACTAGAGCTTTGCTGATCCTCTGCCAGAGTATGCTGTTCTTCTCTTTCCTCTCAATGTGGTATCCTAAAATTGGGCTACCTCCATCTGAAGAAGGTTCATTCCAGCTGATTGTCATTGAATCCTTGGTGAAGGCAACTACTTGTGGAATTCCAGGCTGTCCTGGAACATCAAATGGATAAGCAGCCACCACTGGTTCTGATGTTATGTAGGGTCCAACACCATATCTGTTCTGAGCTTTTACACGGAATTGATATTCAATACCAGTTGTAAGGCGTGCTGCTTTAAATGTTGTGCGGATAACAGTTGCTGCCAGTTCTACCCAGGATGTGCCAGTTGTCTCACGCATTTCAACAATGTAGTTATTAATAGGAACTCCTCCATCATTTTCTGGAGCTTCCCATGATATTATCACATAGTCACAAGAAACCTCATCCAGTTTTATTGGTCCAGTTGGAGGTCCTGGAATATCATGTACTTGAACAGTAATGATTTCAGTCACAGTTCCAAGGATGTTCTTTCCTGTCATTGAATACTGTCCTCCGTCTTTTCTCTTAATTTCATTAATGTTGAGAATTGTAGAAGTTGCAGTATTTTCAACGTTTATTCTCTGTGTCTGTTTAAGTTCCTGATCTTCTTTCTTCCATACAACAAGTGGTTTTGGACGTCCCAGAACAGGGATCTCAACTTTAAGATTATCACCTGCTTTAGCTACCACCATCTTCTGATATATACCTCTGAGGTCAAATCCTGGAGCAGTGGTTTGCTCCTTGATTACAGCTGGTCGACTTTCACGAGGTTCACTCCTACCTGAGCTGTTTACAGCAAAGATTCGGAACACATATTCTGCATTTTCCACCAATTCTGTTGCAGTGTAATCTAAAGCTTTTATTGTTGTCACATGTGTCCACTGATCAGAATCTTTCAGTTGAGCCTCTATCACATAGCCAGTGATTCGACTACCACCATCATATTTTGGTTTAGTCCATGCAAGAGTTGCTGTGTCCTTGGAAACATCTGAAACAATCAGATTATCTGGTGCAGAAGGAGCCTGAGAAGCTTTAATTGGTTCAGGTGTCTCTGCTGGTTCACCGATGCCCCTTTCATTCTCAGCAGAAACTCTAAAGTAATATTCAGCGCCCTCTTCCAAGTCTGGAATCTTGTACGAGCATTTCTGCCAGTTTGCTGTAATGGTTGAGTAAGCCTTTCGTGTTGCGTCCCGCTTCTCAATTATATAATTTGTAATCTTTGAACCACCATCAATGATTGGAATCTCCCATTGTAAAGTAATGCTATGCTTTGTGATTTCACTTGGTTTCAAATTCACTGGAGGTCCTGGGGTGTCCACAACACGAACATTGACAAATCCAGACTTCTTTCCAGCAACATTTTCCAATGTTAGGACATATTTCCCTGCATCATATCTTGTACACTCAGGGATGACTACTAGCGTGTATGATTCAGTAGTGTCAATGTGAGCACGGCCTTTAAGCGGTACATCTTCCTTATTCCATGTTACTTCTGGAGCTGGCCTGCCCTTGATTGGCACAAATATGCGGATTGAAGCACCTGACTTAACAACAAGTGTTTTTCTCAACTCTGCATCAAGTTCAAATTCAGGAACCTCCTCTTGATCCACCAGTTCAACAACTTGCTCAACTTCAGAGGGTTCACCAAGTCCTTCTGAATTCAGTGCTCTGACTCTGAAGTGATATTTTCCTCCTGATTGTAGATTTGAAACTACAAATTCTGTTATTCTCAATGGAGTAGTTGTGTCTTGAACCCAGTCATCATCACCTTCCTTTTTATGTTCAACAATGTATCCTGTCACATCAAGTCCACCATCATAGAAGGGTCTACCCCAGTTAAATGTTGCTGTAGTTTTGGTGGTGTCAGTAATCCGTGGGTTGGATGGAGGTCCTGGTGGATCTGAAAAAGAATAAAATGATAATGATAAAAAGTTATTTGGGAACTTTTTATCAGAATATATAATATCCAGAAAACAATATCTGGAATTTAAAAATATTTTTTGGTCAACTTACATGAAATATCCTTTGTCATTACAGGTTGTGATGGCTCACTGGGCTCGCCAAAACCAGCCTTATTCTCTGCAGTTACACGGAATTCATATTCAATTCCCTCTGACAGGCCTGAGACCTTATAACGTAGATCAGAAATGGTCTTTTTTGAGGCTCTGACCCATCTCATTCCTCTTCTCTCTTTTCTCTCAACACTATAGCCTCTAATGTCACTTCCTCCATCTACAATTGGTCTCTTCCAGGAAATTGTTACAGCATTTTTACTGACATTATCAATTTCTGGTTTTGATGGTGGCCCAGGAGGTCCTGCAAAAAAGAGTTAAGAAGTTAAAGAAAAAAAACTTTATTTATTTATATATATTTATGTGAGTGTGTCTGTGTGTCAGAGACGACAAAAAAAACCCCGATTATGTTGTAAAATATGAAGTTAAGCTTACCAAAACTATCAACCATTTTAACTGGTCCAGACTGTGTTGCATCACCAATACCATACTGATTGACTGCTGAAACACGGAATATGTATTCATTTCCCTTTATCAGCTTGCTGGCAACATAGCGGCAATCCATAACATCTTCAGCAAGCTTTGTCCAGAGAAGGCGGCTGGTTTCTCTCTTTTCTAATGTATATGATTTGATAGTGCAGCCACCATCTTCTTCTGGTGGCAACCATGTCAAAGTGCATTTTTCAGCAGAGACACTGCTGGCTTCAATAGGACCTGGAGGTCCAGGCACATCCAGGATTTTCACTTTGACTTTTTCTTCTTTAATACCAAATGGATTACTTGCAGTAATAGTGTACTCCCCAGTGTTCTTTCGGCTGGCATACTTGATTGACAGTGTTGAAGATGTGGGAGTGCTTGTAATTTGGACAATATCTGAGGTCTTGAATTCTCTTCCACCCTTAGACCACACAGCTGTAGGAGGTGGTTTGCCAAGAATGCTTGATGCTGTTACGACAATTGTTTCTCCAGCCCTCACAGTCACTCCATCCTTCATTTCAGGGTCAATTGTGATAGTTGGTGGTTCTGTAGAAAGTCAGGTGATGATTATAAACATTGTTATGGTTACTGAGGGTTTGGTTAAGCAAAGTTGTTAAAACTTGACAATACAGCTTACCATATTCATCTTTGCAGACAAGAGGCTCAGTTGTCTCTGAGGGAGCACTGATAGCTCCAGCTGCATTTTTAGCCCTTATTCTGAATTCATAAGTACAGCCTTCCTGTAGGTCTGTTACAGTGTATGCACAGCTTTGGACATTCACATGGTTGGCCTTCATCCAGGTCTTTCCAGGATGCTCTAATTTCTCGACAATATAGCCAGTTAGTCTGTGGCCACCATCATACTTGGGTGCAGCCCAAATTAGTGTTACACTGTTTCTTGTGACACTGATCACATCAGGTTTACCAGGTGGATCTATAGAAAGAGATAATAATATATACAAAAAATATTTTTGCAATCTCTTCCTGATGAACGGCACATCTTAAAAAGCTGAAAGAAAGCACACTTTGACTCACCAATTGGATCAAGAGCAACAAGTGATTCAGTTGTTTTGCTTGGCTTTCCAAGTCCAGCCACATTCATAGCTATGACCCTAAATTCATATTCCAGTCCTTCAACCAAACTGGTTACTCTGCATTCTTTCACTCTCAAAGGTGTCTTGTTGGCTCTCTTCCACATCAGGCTATTTCTATCTTTAAATTCCAAGTAATATCCTATAAGCAATATTAGTAGTAAAAAGGTTTAGTTGTTACAAACTGCAAATAAACATATAAATAAAAAATAAATGTTGTTAAGAAATATTTTACCTGTGATGGGTGAGCCTCCACTATCTTTTGGATCAGACCATGTTAGGATAGCAGACTCATGACGAATGCTCACAACCTCAGGTGGTGCTGGAGCCCCTGGTGCATCTGGTGTGGGGAAAAGTGTGTATTTGTTGTGAATAAATGTTTTTAAATATCATATTTCATAAAATAAAAATATGTATTTGGGATTTCTTTAAATACTCACTGAATGGATGTTTAGCAACCACTGGATCAGATTTGAGGAACTCTCCAAATCCATATTTATTTTCAGCACAAACTCTGAAAATGTATTCTGTTCCGTCATGAAGTCTTGTAACTCTCATAGAGTTCTTTTGAATTGCAGAAGCAACTGTGACCCACTTGTTGGCAGTAGAATGCCTCTTCTCCAAAATATAGTTGGTAACTTCTGATCCACCATCATCTTTGGGTGGACCCCATTCTACAGTAATCGCTTCAGCTGTGATTTCATCAAATTTGATGGGACCGGTGCAGTTTCCAGGCTTTCCAACAACTTTAATGTCAATAGCTGATTCCTTTGTTCCAGCACTGTTTCTCAAAATAACAGTGAAATTGCCAGCATCACCTCTATTGCAATCACGAACCAGCAAGACCGTGTTTGTTGCCGTTGATTCACCTGAGATCCTGCCACTGTCTGATAAAGTAACATCACCCTTTTTCCATGTGACTGCAGGAGCTGGGATACCAAAAATAGGGATATTAAGACGAACAGTGCTTCCTTCCTTTGCCACATAGGTAGAGTCTGGCAAACCTTTAAGATTAAAGTCTGGAAGGACTGTAAAAAGACAAGTAAAACACAAATATGTTAATGGACATCGTTGCATAACCACTAAGAAACAAATGCAATTACTAGGTAGACCAGGGGTTTTCAAAGTGTGGGACATTCAGTCATTAAATGAAATCAGTTATTAAAAGCACAATATCGTAAGAGAACTGAATTAGGCATCAGCATATGGGCATCCATTTCAGTGCATGACCCATTGTGCTTGAACAGTCAAATACACAAATTGATGTGTCAAAATGTCTGACCATTCACATAAACACAGTTGGTTATATAACAGTTAATGTAAAGAGTTAAAATTGGATGTGTATCAATATATTGGATCTGTGCATTAGGTCTCACTGTCTTTGACGTTAAAAAACCCTGAGGTATACTATATGAATACCTATTTGATCTTTAGCCAAGACAGTGAGCTCAGATGATGGTCCTTCAGCTGCTTCATTAATGGCTTTGACTCTAAAGAAGTACTCCTTTCCTTCTTCAAGGTCAGTTATTGTGTACTGGGTGAGCTTAGACTTCATTAGCAGCTTCCATTTGTCTTCCCCTTCACAGATCTCGAGAACATATGCAACAATATGGCTTCCACCATCACTGATTGGTTTCTTCCAGCCAAGAGTGCAAGAATTCTTGTTGATCTCTGAAGGTTTAAAATCTGTAACTGGTCCAGGTTGCTCTGCAATTGACATCAATATTAGAATTTAGCATAATCAACATATTAACATTAAAAATGTAAACTAAACTGCAACATTATCAAAGAAGTCTCACCTGAGGCTTTGACTGGTCCAGCTGTTTCACAACCCTCACCGATACCATATATATTTTCAGCTGAAACTCTGAAGCAGTAAGCTTTACCAGCTTCGAGATTAGTAATCCTGTAAGATGTCTTGGGACATTCAGGAGCAACACAGGTCCAAGCCTTTCTCTCAGCCAGACGTTTTTCAACAACATAGCTCTTAACGGGACTACCACCATCAATTAATGGAGCATCCCAAGTAATAGATGCATGGTCCTTCGAGGTCTCCTTAACAATCAGATTGACTGGGGGTCCAGGTGTGTCTGTGTACATTTGCAGACTGCAGTTAGATACAGTAAATAATAAACCTCAAATGGAAATTTGTTAAGAGAAAGAAAAAAATCTTACCTAGTACTTTGACAACAATGGTATATGACTTGGTACCACTACTGTTTTCTAGAGTTAAGACATATTTGCCAGCATCATATCTGTTGATATTCTCACAATAAAGGAAGGTATCCCATTCAGTTGTCTTGATCATAAGACCTTGTCTTTCTTTCAAGTTTGCATTGACCTTAGTCCATGTTGCCTTTGGAGCAGGACGCCCTCTCAGAGGTACATAAATTCTCATTGTGACTCCAGCACGTAAAACTAGTACTTTTCTGAGATCTGCATCAAGTTCAGCCTCAGGGGCAACTAAAAGAAAATCACGATGAGAATAATGTACAGTAATCTACAGATACTTGAAATCAAAATTCAGATATACTTACTTAGGATATCCTTTGCCATATGTTTTCCAGGAACTTCACTTGGCTCACCAAATCCAATCTTGTTTACAGCAGTAACACGGAACTGGTACTCAGTGTTATCCATAAGACCAGTAACATTAAATTTTGTTACTTGGAGATTCTTTGGCACATTGCACTTCAGCCAGTCTTCTGCATCTGCTCTTTTGAACTCAACAAGATAGCCCAGAATTTCACATCCACCATCATAGGCGGGTTTGGTCCAGGACAAACTGATTGAACTGTGTGTAGAGTCAACAACCTTTGGAAAAGCAGGTGGTCCAGGAGGATCTATAAATAAAACACAGAAATGCAGGGTCTAAATGCACAAACCTTTCTTTCTTTCTTTTCTTTTTTTTGGCCAAGTTTAATTGTTAATGGACATTAAATACAGTATTGTTAGTACTTACACACTGGGTCTACTGCAAGAACACCAGCTGATGGATCACTTGGTTTGCCAAGACCAGCTTTATTGAGTGCAATGACTCTGAATTCATACTCCGATCCCTCTGTGAGGCCTCCAGCTTTAATTGTCCTGTCAATAACTGGTCTTCTATTCACTTTAGCCCAATTGAGGTCTTGAGTTTCACGTTTCTCAACCATATATCCAAGAATGGTGGCCTTGCCATCATCAGCAGGGGCCTTCCAACTAACAGTCATGTGATCCCTGGTGATATTGGTAATAACTGGAGGTTCACATGGTCCTGGGACATCTACATTTTGAAAATGTTTTTTTTAATCAAATTAATTTGTTTAAGGAATATGCAATTTCAAAACAATATGTATATACATGAATAGAGATCAAACGATAAATGGACTGACATTTTTAAATGATATTTAGGTTTTTCTACTAGGTATAGCAATAAACAGTGACATCTGGTGGGTCATTAAACAATAGCACACACACACAAAAAAAAACATTATTGTTCATCTCACAGGAAACAGTGGTCTTTCCAAACAAATTAACATATAATATTACATAATGTATGTAAAAGCCACTCTATGCAGCCAAAGCTTTAAAAAAATCTACCTGTGTGAAACTTTTAACATTAGATTATATGTACTGATCACTTATCGGTCAATCGCTATAATATATAAATGCATGAGAAAGAATAAAATGTTACCAAATGGATTCTTGGCAATCACAGAGTTAGTCACAATTGGGTCTCCAACACCATACTTGTTCTCAGCACTGATGCGGAACTCATATTCATGGCCTTCAATCAGTTTCTCCACAGAACAGTCTGTTATCTGACCATTGATGTTAGCAGTAACTTGTGCCCAGTTAGCTCTGCTTGTTTCTCGTTTGTCAACAATGTAATTTGTGATTTCAGAACCACCATCGGCAAGAGGTGGCTCCCACTTCAGTTTCACACGGTCGGCAAACACATGGCTTATCTTCACTGATGCTGGGGGTCCAGGTTTGTCTGCAGAAACAAAATTAAGCATGTCTCACAAAACAAATACACTTTCTTAAATGTCTGAAGGGTAATACATGGTCAGTCCTTTTTGGCATATTTTTAATGTTAACTTACCTAGAACCTTCAATTTAATGTTGCCAGACTTTGTGCCACTTGGGTTCTCAGCAGTAATGGTGTACTCTCCAGATTCCTTTCTTGTCACAGAGAACAGTTCCATGCAGAAGCGATGAACCTTCTGAGTCATTTTCATACCTTCAGCCAATTTCAAAGGAACACCATCTTTCTTCCAAGTGACCTTTGGCAATGGTTTGCCAAAAACTTCAGCCTCCATGCAGACATTTGCTCCGGCTTTGACAACAATTAAGTTCTTCATTTCAAGACTAATCTCAACTCTAGGTGGAACTGAAATAATACAAAGAGAGACATCAAATTAACTATATAAAGTCCATCAGTTAGTAAATAATTACATTATTGGTAGATCATAAGACTTACCATGCTCTGCAATAATTGGGATAGCATCAGATTCCTCTGAGGGCAGACTGACATTAATTGCTGTCTTTGCAATTATTCTGAACTTGTATTGGGCTCCCTCCTCAAGTCCAGGAACAATGTACTCTTCCTTTGGTATATTTTGACTGCTTGTGTTAACTCGCACCCATTTGTCACCTGGAAGCTTCAGAGATTCAACGTCATAACCAATGAGTTTACTTCCACCATCATGTTTTGGACGGCTCCAGACAAGAGAGACAGAATTTCTGGTCACATCAAGAACTTGGGGTTTTCCAGGTGGATCTGAAAAAGAATATAAATCAAACTTGTAGTGTTTTGATTTCAATTTTTATAAGGGAGAGCAGCAGGTTTCCCCCCCAACACATACCAACTGGACTTCTTGCAGTGATAAAATCTGTCTGCTTGCTTGGTTTGCCTTGTCCCGCCTTGTTGACAGCAGACACTCTGAATGTGTACTCCAGACCATCAATGAGGCCAGAGCATGTATATTCAGTTGAGCGAACAAGGACCTCATTTGCCTTGACCCACAGGAGGCTATTTCTTTCTTTGCGCTCAATGCAATATCCAGTGATGGGACTGCCACCATCGTTCACTGGTCTCTCCCATGACAACACAACAGATTCCTTGTTAATTTTGTTGACACAACAGTTCCTTGGCTCACTGGGTGGATCTGAAATTGTAATATATGTATTAAAGTAAATAAAGCCTAATCCCTTTGTGTGTCAGTGTTCAAATGTGTTGATATATGAGACTTACCAAATGGATGTCTAGCAATCATTTTCTCAGAGTAAATTGGTTCTGAAATGCCAAAACGGTTTTCAGCACGGACACGGAAGCCATACTCTTTGCCAGGTGTGAGCTTTCCAACTCTGCAGCTGGTCTTGGTGCAAGATGCCACTGTGACCCAGTCACCTCTGCTCACATCACACTTCTCAACAATGTAGTTTGTGATGTTGCTGCCACCATCTTCAGCAGGTGAATCCCATGCAAGTGTGCAGGAATCCATGTCAAACTCAAGAACTTGTAGAGGACCCTGTGGAGGACCAGGGATGTCTAAAAACAAACAAACAAGTCATTATAAGTCAAAATATAATAACAATAACAACGACAACGACAACAATAACAATAATAATACAAACTCACCCATAATAATTATTCGGAGGATCTGGTTGACCTTTGCAGTGCTGTTTTCAGCAGACAGACTGTAATAACCACTATCCTTCCTTGTGACATCTTTGATCAAAAGTGAATTTGTGGTTGGGGTTTTTTGTATGAAGAGACGATCAGATGTAACTATGTCATCATTTCCCCTTTTCCATTTTGTGACTGGAGCAGGCTTCCCAGACACAAGAGCCTCAACTATAAGTTTAGATCCTGCTCTTGCTGTAACCACATCAGACATGATGATCTTTGGTGCCACTATGAAAGAGGTAAAAGATTCAGAGTGTGATTCATAAAAAATACAGCATGAATAAAAATACATTAATAATGGGAGAGCACAACATCTTTGTATACATACTCAGCTGTTCTTTGACCTCAAATATGCCCTCAGCTTCTCTTGCCAAACTGCATCCTATTGCGTTTCTTGCTGCAACCCTGAATCTGTACTTAGTGTTTTCTTTCAGTCCAGCTACAACAATTGTCAAGTCTTTCACAACAGAGTATAATGTCCAATTGTCCTCAGGTTGACCATCCTGCTGGTATTCAACAATGTAGCCATTAATCTTAGATCCACCATCTCTAAGTGGCTTCAGCCACCCTAGAGTTGCACTGTTTTTAGTAATTTCTAATATATCCATCTTCTTCGGAGGATCAGGCTCACCTTTGAAAGGTAAAAAGAGACACATTATTTTAATACACATTTTTAAAATACTAATATAATATAATATAAATTATACCGTGTAAGGTGGACTTACTCATGGGGTCTGTAGCGAGGTAGGATTTTGGTGAGTCTTGAGGCAACCCAATGCCATACTTGTTAACTGCCATGACCCGGAAGTAGTATTCTATTCCTGGTGTCAGAGTCGTGACTTTGAAGCTTGTTTTTTTCAAGTCACTTGTGCAATTTGTCCATGTCTTCCTATCAACCTCACGCTTCTCAACAACATAGTTTAAGATTGGGCTACCACCATCATTTTCTGGAGGCAACCATGCAAGCTGGCAGGTTGTCTTGGTAATGTCAGTTGCCTCCAGTCCACCAACGGGACCAGGAGTATCTGTTGACAAATTTCAGGAACTGGTTTACTGACAGTACTTGGTAGTAGGTAAATGCAATGATTATTTCAATTTTAAAATGCATTTTATACAAATGTAAGTTTACCTAAGACTTTAACACGAACAAACACAGCCTTTTCTCCAGAGAGGTTAGAAAGAGTCAAAGAATATTTGCCAGAGTCTTCGCGTGAGCACTCAGGAATCACAAGGAAGGTCATTGTATCAATCTGATCCACATGGCCCTTCCTAATGACATTGTCAACACCCATGCGCTTCCAAGTCACTTTAGGTGCTGGTCTTCCTCTAATTGTTGCAAAAAGTCTGATAGGACATCCTGCTCTTACGCTAAGGCCTTTTCTTAGACTAGCATCAAGATCAATCTCTGGAGTTTCTGTTGTGAAAAATAAAAATAATAAGTTTACTGAATTTCAAGGGCAATCATAACACTTTAAAACATGACACTTTAAAACAAATGCTTACCATGGATCTCCTTTGGTGATACAGCATCCTTGAGGTTTGCAGGACGGCCCATGCCAACTTGGTTTTGAGCAGACACCCGGAATTCATATTCCTGTCTCTCATCCAAGTTAATCATTGTAAATTCAGTTATGACAAGCTGTCCAGCAGTATTACATTTCTTCCAGCCTTCCTCTGGATCTCTCTCTTGTTCACCTTCCATTTGCACCTTATCCCTCATTTCAACCAGATATCCAATAATTGGAGCACCACCATCATACACAGGCTTCGCCCAGCTAAGTGTAATGGATGTCTTTGTGCTGTCAACTACTTTAAGGCTGCCAGGAGGACCAGGGGGCTCTAAATTGCACATACAATGCCAGTTTAGTTTAAAACAAATAAACGCATCAATAAGAAAAAATACACAAACTTGAATGAACAGATTATACAGATATTATAACAGATAATACAGACTATACACACCAATTGGATCTTTTGCAGTGATGGGTCTGGATGGTTTGCTTGGTTCTCCCAATCCTACTTCATTTTCTGCTTTGACACGGAATTGATATTCGTGGTTAGGGATCAGATTGGTGACCTTCATACGCCTCTCAGAGATAGGGCTCTTTGTGACAGGGACCCACCGAACAGCCCGCTTTTCTTTTCTCTCCAGAATGTAACCAGTGATAGACTTTCCACCATCGTTTTCAGGAGGAGCCCATACCACAGTCATCTCATCTTTACCAATTTTTGTTACCTCAGGTGCATCAGGTGGACCAGGCCTGTTGTATTGTGTCTTAGCAGTAATAGGCTTGCTCTCCATTGGTGGTCCAGTTCCCATCTTATTTTCTGCTCTTACCCTGAATATGTACTCATTTCCTTCAACAAGACGTGTTACATTACAGTAATTGGTGATAACAGAGGCAGAGTAAGTGGACCAAACCATTCTTCTCGTCTCACATTTCTCTATAATATAGCTGTCCACCTCACAACCACCGTCATCCTCTGGAGGATCCCATACAACTCTGCACTTGTCTGTGGAAATGCCAGAAACCTTCATATCTCTGACAGGTCCTGGTATATCCAAAACTGTAACATTGGCATATGCTGTGAATGATCCTGCTGAGTTTGTAGCAGTGACCACATATTTTCCAGTATCACTACGCTTGGTTTTAGTAAGGAGGAATTTGGAGTAATCATGTCCAGTGTCAATGCTGATCCTTGGGTTATCGCCTGTAGTCTTTTCCTTAACCCATGTAACCTCAGGCTGTGGTTTTCCTCTAAGTCCAGCTTCAAGTCTAACTGATTCACCAGCTTTGACCACAACAGTACCAACAAATTTCAAGTCAAGAACTGGTTTCTGAACTTCTTCTTTGACAAGAATATCAGATGTCCTAACCCAGGCACTTTCTCCTCCATCATTTGTTGACTGGACTCTAAATTGATATGTGTGGTTCTCAACACATTTGTCTACCATGAAGAATGTCTCTTTCAGGACTCCTTCATGTACCTTCTCCCACTCTTCAGCATCCTTTGCTTTTTTCTCCAAATAGTAGCCCAGGTTAGGACTGCCACCATCATAATCTGGTTTTCTCCATTTAAGGAAAACTAAGTTTTTACCAATATCACTGACGTGGAAGTTCTCTGGCTCACCTGGCTTCTGAAGTGGGTCGATTGCAAGGATGGGAGTTTTGGTTTCTGTTGCTGGCCCAGGACCACACTTGTTCTCGGCAGATACACGGAATAAATATTCATGATTTTCCATGAGCTTAGCCTTTACCATGCGATTTGTGCAGTCAGATGAGATCATTGACCAGGCTCGTATACTTGGCTCCCGACATTCCACAATGTAATTTGTTATCTCAGTGCCTCCATTATCCTCTGGTGCATCCCAGGACACCATGCAAGAGTTTTTAGTTACATAGGTCAACTTAAGATTTTGGCAGTGCCCAGGTCTATCCAGAACATTTACTGTAATAGTAGCCGAGGCCTCTCCAGCTTCATTTACAGCTTTTAGTGTATACTTTCCATGATCTGCTCTGGTTGCTTCCTTGATACGCATTTGCACTACTGGGAAGTTGTTTGTCAGAGTGGTGCGCTTGTCCTTTTCAAAAACACTTTCACCTTTGCTCCAAGTGATTTCTGGATCAGGTCGTGCTTTTACATATGCTACAACATTAATGTTATGCCCAACACGAACAGTCAAACGGTCACGGCATGTGGCATCCACCTCAATTTCCGGAGGAATGACAATATCCTTAGCAATAACTGACTCTGGGATTTCCCTGGTCTCACCTTCTCCAATCATGTTGACGGCTTTAACACGGAACCTGTATTCTGTGCCCTCTGCCAGTCCCTTAACTCTATAAGCACACTGTTTAATTAGATCATCCTTATTTACTTTCTCCCACTCAGCACCTGCCTTCTGGTATTCAACAATATATCCTAAGACTGGACTGCCTCCATTTCGTGTGGGTCTGATCCAGACTAAGTCAGCATATGTGCAACTGTAGTCCTTTACCTTAGGGTTCACTGGAGGTCCTGGAACAGTAATTGGTCTGCAAGGTTTGGCAGGATCTGAAATAGGTGAAGGTCCACTAAAGCCAGCAATATTTTCAGCAAATACTCTGAATTCATATTCATTATCTTCAAAAAGCCCAAGTACTCTGTATCTAAGGTCCTTGCAAGGTGTTTTATTCACTCTAATCCATTTTCCCCCTTTATGTCTTCGTTCAATAATATAACCACTGATCGGACTACCACCATCAAACAGAGGCATTGTCCATCCAAGTGTGAGAGCATCTTCAGAAATATCAGATGCAACTGGTTTTCCAGGATGGCCAGGGGGCTCAAACTGGTGCTGGGCTACAGTTGGAGCACTTTCAAGAGCTGCGCCAATTCCCATTTTATTTTCAGCACGAATTCTCAAAACATACTCAACTCCTTGCTGCAGACGAGAAATTTTGAGTGTTGTGGAAGTGCTGCCAGAACTTACTCCTCCCCAAGTTTCCTTATTCGATTCCCTCTTCTCAACAATATAGTTCATGACAGGGCTTCCACCATCATCTTTGGGAGGACGCCATTCAATGACCATGGAGTCAGGAGTCACTTCAAGGATATTTACAGGACCTATTGGGGCAGCTGGCACATCAAGCACTGTGACATTCAGAGAAACAGTCTTACTTCCTGCTGAGTTAGACACTGTGAGAATATAGATTCCAGTGTGATGTCTTGTGCAGTCAGCAATGCTCAGAACAGTGGAGAAGTTGTCAGTGTCAATTTTGATATTGCCTTCACTCTTTATTTCCTCTCCATCAATGACCCATTTGGCAGTGGGAACCGGAAGGCCTCTCATAATGGCAGGCAATCTTATAGTGCTTCCAGCTTTCACAATGATTCCCTCTATCAACTTCACATCCACCTCAACAATTGGCGGCACTACAAAGACAGTAGAAGAAAAAAGTTTAATAATACAAATTGAAAACATCATTTCTTGAGGTAATCATAGAGAATGTTAAAATTTTAATCTAACCTAGTTTTTCCTGGCAAAGTACTGGCACAGTGGTGTCTGGTCTACTTAAACCAACTGCATTCTCTGTCTTAACACGGAACCTGTAGGTCTTTCCTTCTTCCAGTCCAGTCACATGGCACTCAGGAATGCTGACAGTCTTAAAAACTACCCAATCCCTTTCACCTTCTTCTTGGTACTCAACCAAGAACCCTGTGATGTCACTTCCTCCTGTACGATCAGGCCAATTCCACTGGAGCCACACCTCAGTTTTGTCAGCATCTACATGATGCAGGTCTTTAGGTGGACCAGGTGGGACTGAAATTGCAATAACAAGTGTTTAGTTTTTTTTTTTGCTTTATTTTTATATATTATACTTTTTAGTTATTGCTTTGAAAATAAACATTAAATAGGCCTAAAAGTGGAGTAATTTCACAGGCCATACTTACACAGTGGATTCATTGCTTTAATAGCTTTTGGTGTTTCAACATATTCACTTCTTCCAAACTGATTTTCAGCCGCCACACGGAACATGTATGACGTTCCCTCAATCAAATATTTGGCCAACATGCTACGTTTTTTGGAAGATGAGCAGATTGGCACCCATTGTGCAGATGCTGCATCCTTTTTCTCAACAACAAAGTTAGTGATGCGTGTACCACCATTATCTTCTGGGTCTTTCCAAGATAGCTGGGCAGAATCATATCTGACATCAGATACTCTGAGATGCTGAACTGGTCCAGGCTTGTCTATGAAAACAAACAAGTAAAACAACAACTTAACATGTTGCCTAATAAGAACAGTATTTAATTTTCATTTAATTTATTTGTATGTTCTGCTTCTTATAAATGATTTAAAATTGTACAATTTTTAATTTAACATAGTCTTTGAAATATATACCAAGAACAAGCACGGTGCATGTGGCTGTCTTTGATCCAGCTGGATTTTCAACAGTAAGTGTGTAATCTCCACAATCTGCACGGGTGCAATAACGCATCTCTAGTTTGGTTGCTGTTCCAGATGTTTCAATCTCTGCTCTTGTTGGAACATCTGCCTCATTTTTCTTCCATGTGACTTTGGGGAAAGGTATTCCCTTGATTCCAGCAATAATATTAATATGGGTTCCAGCCATTGCTTTGATCTCACGAGGCATGCCCAAATCCAGTTGAAGTTCTGGGGGCTCTATAGACAATAGACAAAAATAAAACATTTAATATTTTCACACATATTTGGTTAAATGCAATAACAAGCGTAATAAGCATAATTAGCAAAGTAAAGTCATACATATCCAAGTATGCATATCCAAAATTACCAAGTCTGTCTTGTGCTCGAACGGGCTCTGGGACATATGCAGGATCTGATTCACCAGCAGCATTCACTGCCTTCACTCTGAATCTGTAAAGTGCACCATCCTCAAGGTTGATAACCTTGAATGTAGTGCCCTGGCAAGAGTCAGGTGTTTGATTAACTTGAAGCCATTCCTCATCACCAGCTTTCTGATACTCAATGAGATAGCCAAAAATTTTGCCTCTGCCACAGTCTTTTGGTGGTTGCCAAGAAAGAGTGACAGAATCTTTTGTCTTGTCAATTGCTACTGGAAGTACAGGTGGGCTTGGAATCACTGTGACAAGAAATGTAAGTAAATAGGAGGTTAATATTTTAACTCAGCAAAAACTGTCAATTTTTCATTGAAAACATCCTTAGACACATACCAATAGGATCTTTGGCATAGATGGGCTTTGATGATAGGCTGGGGTCACCAACACCAATCACATTCTCTGCCATGACACGGAATTCATATTCACATCCCTTGAGAAGATCAGGAACCCAGAATTCTGTGTTAGGGTAAATGCGGTCTTTTCCAGCTCTAGACCACATGTTGGCCTTGGTCTCCTTCTTTTCAACAATGTAGCTTGTGATTGGTTTTCCACCATCAGTTGGCTGAAGCCAAGAAATAAGCGCTGTATCTTTATAGATTTCTTTTACCACAGGTGCCTGTGGAGCATCTGGAACCTCTGCAAGTGATAGAAATGTGAGAACATGAGTAAGACTCTTGATCATAAATTAAATGATTCTTGTTAAAATTATTTAGCGACTATTATATTACATTGCAGAAACTGTTACTTACTGAAAACATCCTTTGCTTTTGTCTCAGCAGATAGCAATGGATCACTAATGCCATGAATATTCTGAGCACAGATTCTAATGATGTACTCTCTTCCCTCAATCAGTTTTGGAACTCTGCATGATGCCCTTGTACAAGATTCTGTAACAGGCATCCATAGATCCCTGTTGGTGTCTCTCTTTTCAACAATATAGTTAGAAATAGCAGCTCCACCATCATCCAGTGGGGGCTTCCAGGAAATGAGCATATAATTCCTGTAGATCTCGTCAAAGATAACAGGACCCTCTGGAGGTTGTGGACGGTCTGAAAAAGTAATTATACATATGATTCACAATTCAGTTTGCAAAAATAATAGCAAGATAAGAAAAGAATATGCTTGACAAAAGTAAAGATTAGCATACCGACAACAATAACATTACATATGCCCTTGCATGAGCCAATGGAGTTCTCCAGAACAACAGTGTATTTTCCACTGTGATCACGTTTTGCCTTTGCAATAGTCAAGCACAATTTATTCTTTGTGCTGGTGAGAGCAATTTCTTCATTTGCCTGAAGCTCCTCATCATTTTTGAACCATTTAATAGTTGGTGCTGGTTTTCCTGAGTACCCACTTTGAAGAGTGCAAGTTTCCCCAACACGAACAACAAGCTTGTCACGGAACTCAAGATCAAGGTTTGGTGGTTCTAGTAAAGAGTACAGTATACAATAAATAAAAAATGGTCAATAAAAAGAAAATTATAGAACAAATCACTTCAGTGCAAGTACTTGGTTACTTACCAAACTCTTTTTTGCATGTAACTGGTTTGGTGCTGAATGATGGTTTGCCTTGACCGATTTGATTCACAGCACTAACTCGGAATTCGTAAGAAGAACCTTCCTTAAGACCCACGTGTGTGAATTTACGTTCCATAAGTTTGTCCTCTATGGCAATACGGCTGAAGTTGTCCTGTCCGATAAGACGAACCTCAAGAACATAGCTTGTAATGTCTGAACCTCCATCATACTTTGGAGGTCTCCATGTGACACTGATTGAATCATTTGTGATGGCTGTCACCTCAAGATCCTCTGGGCGCTCAGGTATAGCTGAAGAAGTTTAAATGTGTGAGACATTTTACAAGCAATTAAAAGTAATGACACTTAAAAATAAAAAAATACTGATACAAATAAACAAGACTTACAAAGTGGATCCTTGATGACGACAGGAGCTGAGGTCTCAGTGAACGGACCCAGCCCAATAATATTTTCAGCCGCAATTCTGAAGAAGTAACCCTTGCCATCAATAAGACCCTGGACAACAGCATTGTGTCTTGTGACAGTATATGTCACTGAAGTCCAGCCTCTGCGGTCAGCTTCTCTTTTCTCAATTATATAGTTGGTGATAGCTGAGCCACCGTCATCTTCAGGAGAGTACCATGTCAACTTACAAGAGTCATTGGTGAGATTCTCACCAGAGAAGGGCAGACCCACAGGGCCAGGGACATCTGTGAAGAAATAAAACAAGTTTATTGAAATAATTTCAGAATTCAGATGCCAAAAAAAAAAAAAAAAAAAAACTTAACCGACCCCCCACTTCTGAATGGTAGTGTATTTGAAAAATAATTGAAAAATAATAAATACATTGAAAAATAATAATACTAATAATAATATATATATATATATCAATTTCAGAAAAATGTTAAGTAACTG